ATCCTCCAGCAGCTATCCCACAATGCCCCAGTCCCCATAATAGTGACCACTCTGCTCACAACTTTAAACTCCATTGCCCAGGGGGTCACAGAGACAGAAAATCCATCCCATGCCAGCCCCCCTTGAAAAAATCTTGAGTGTTTTTGAAATGCCCTTTCCTGGTTGCCAGGCTTCATGAGCACACCTAGCAGCTCACCTTTGTTGTCTGCATCCAATTGACCATGAATCCACGCCCACACTGGGGCAGGCAGGCAGGCAGTATTGAATCACCTGTGCCTACGGGGAGGAGAGGCTGTGCAACCACAGCTATGGACCAGCCATAGAAATGTGGACATCTACGAGCAGATTGGATGGGGGATGCAGGCAAAGGAGTATGACAGGGATCAGCAACAGTCCTGCATGGAAGCAAAGACACTTCACCAGGAACACCACAAGGCCAGGGAGGGTAACAAGAAATCTGGTGCTGCCCCACAGACCTCACGATTTTACAATGAATTGCATACCATTCTTGGGCAAGATCCTACCAGTGATGGGCAGACCTCGCTGGATTCTTCAGTGGACCAGCAGGAGACTGCTGCCATGAACAGTGAGGGTGGACAGCGGCGGGCGGGGGACAGTGGACGGACATGGTGAGAGATTTCACCCATGCCGCAAGCCAGGACCTGTTTGAAATTCCATAGGAATTTAGCGCAGATGAGCCTGACGATGAAGAGGAAGGTAGCTCAGGTAAGCGTGTGCATGCATGCATTTTCTTTACAATGTTTTATTTGCTTTTGCTTCCCCCACCCCCATTTAAAGATGTCGCCCAGCCCACCACCATGTGTGCAAGACAAAAGTATCGACTTTTCATTCATTTCACTGACTTACTTGAGAAACTAAAAAGTTAGGAAGTAAATGCGAAACAAATTCCTGAACAGTCCTATGGCAGTCCAATTACATGATCCACATTGATTCAGGGTCTTGTACTTGGGTAGACATAGGACAGTGGTTCCCAAACTTTAACAGCCCACAAACCCCTTTCACTAAATTGTGAAATCTCGTGAATCCCCTCCTAAAAATGAATATTTCCAGGGATTTAAGTTTAAATTTCCTCAGTGTGATGGATGCGCATCTTTGCTCTGCATAGCTCTTGGAAGTCCGGAACCACTGGAGAAAGATAAAAAGTCTCAGGTCTGGTTCAGCGTCCAGTCTGTTTCTGTATTTGGTTTTCAGATGTGCATACGAGGAAAACGCTTTCTCGCATAAGTATGTTGTTGAAAATGGTAACAAAACTGTAGCAGCTTTTTCTGCCAGAAGGGGATATTTGTTTCTTAAACTCAGCCAAAAGTTGATCAATGACAGATTTCTGAAACTCCTTTTCAGTTCGTAATCACAGGAGATCTCAATCAATTTCTCTTTTTCCTCAGTGTTCAATATCTGTGTTGAGAAAGTGGTATCATCAAAACGGTTGCGACTCCAGTCATTGTCGCCTGACATAGCTGGAAAGTCTTCTCTGAAAGTTGTGCAAAGTCCTTTTAGGTGTGCAATGGTATTGGTTTTAGTGCACTGGTCCAGCTGAAGTTTGTGTTCTGCCAGGAAGTCATGAAGATTAGTGAAACACTCAGTTTGATTATTTTCCAAACAACTTTCCCAGAACTGCAACTTCTTTATCATGGATTCAACTCGCTCTTGCACATTGAAAACTGTTATATTGAGGCCTTGAAGATATAAATTTAGGTCATTAATTCTTGAGAAAATATCTGTTAAATAAGCTATGCTCTGGAGCCAGACGTTATTTTCCATACAGCTGGCAAGGTGAAAAGGGTGGCTGTTGGGAAAAAAAACAAAAACAAACAAACTAGGATTTCTGTTCTAAGCTCAAACAAGCACACAAGGATTTTGCCCCATGAGAGCCATCTAATTTCAGTATGGGTCAACAGACAATTGTGTATACTACCCATATCTTCACAAAGTACATGAAATATTCTGGAATTTGTTGGCCATGATTTTATGAAATTTACCATTTTCACTGCATTGTCCAGCACTTCCTTCAGTCCCGCAGGCATGCGTTTTGTTGCGAGGGCTTGTCTATGGATGCTGCAGTGGGTCCAAGAGACTTTTGATGCAACCTTTTTTGTTCAAGCTGCAAATCCAGTACAATTCCCCGCCATTGATGTGGCCCCATCAGTGCAAATGCCTAAGCAACGAGACCAATCTATTTCCTTTTCTTGAAAATATGCATTAGTTAGACTGAAGATATCTTCTCCAGTTAAACGTTCTTCAATGGTTTGTAAAACAACAAGTCTTCATTCACATAATGTACAAACAGTAGCAAAATAGCTAGATTAGCTACATCAGTTGATTCATCCAACTGTATAGCGTGATATGGACTATTTTTCACTCTATGTACAATTGTGGTCTCTACATTATTTGACATGTTATTAATTCTTTGTGACAACGTATTATTGACAAAGGTACCATGTCAATCCTTTTTGCAGCCTTTTCTCCAAGCATGCAATGAACTACATCTTTTATACACGGACCATCAAACTCTGTGCTATGGTATGGGCTTCTGATGCTTTTGCTTCACGGTAGTTCACGCAGTATGACGCTTCAAGTGCATTTTCATTATCAGTACTTGCTTTGGATATAAAACTGGTAATGTCACTTTTCCTCTCAGCTAATTTTCGCTTGAAAAAATCAACAGGCTTGTCAAGTTGTGCAGGATTCCTAGTTTCTAAATGGCGCCAAAGTAGAGAAGGTTTGAGGCTGCTGTTTGCTAGAACATAACCACAAATCACAAACAGTGGTTTTGGACGTTCTTGATCACCAATGCATGTAAAGCCATATTTTATATAATCATAGTCATATTTTCTTTTCTTTGTAAGTGATTTTCCAGGACCATCATGATCATTAGACTTAGATTTTCCACAGTGTGGACTTGAGGAAACACTAGCTGATTCTTGCGTCTTTACCCTGCTCCTCCTGGGGCTCCGGCTGTCTGCCCTGCAACCGGGTCCCACCTGCTGCCTCCAATGCCCGGGGTCCTCTGGCTGCCATTAGTGAAATTTTTCTGGAGAACCCTCAGGGGTTTGCGAACCCCAGTTTGGGAACCACTGACGTAGGATAACCAGAGGTAGAGTCATCATCTGTTTTTCATTCCCTTGTTGGGCTAGGCAGGAGGGGGCTGGGGGGGGGGAAGACTAAGCAGTTTGTTTATGTGATGAGGAATGTCCCTTTTTATCCTGAGAGATCTTGATTACTTTCATGGAGGTACTGTGCAATCCTTTCCTGAACGTGTCTAGGAAGGGTAGCCTTATTTCTCCCTGTGCAGTAAGACACTTTCCCATGACAGTTCAGCTGGCACCATTGCCATAAACAGACTAATAGCTTACGGGCCTAGGTAGCTTCGGGACACCAATATCATCTGGATTCTCTGCGCCTTTGTAATCCTCAGAAGTGAGATAAATCAGCTAAAATTACCACTGCCTATAGAAAATAGTCCCAATTTTCAGTGCCATTGTCCTATACTCATGGAATAAGGGCCAGAATTCTATAACTTCATGCAACAGAAAATCCCTCCCAGCCAGTCCTTGCCAGGCCATACTCATCACGGTTGGAGCTGGACAGTGGTGCTGTACTGAGGTGCTCCGAAGCTGAACCGCCAATAAGCATTTCTCAGAAGTATGTTTGGGACTTAAGGGAAGGGAATTTGGAAGCTTATCTTTCCTGTAAATCTAATGGAGCATTTGTCTGTTTTTAATCAGCAGCTTTTGGTGTGGTGCCTGACCCCAAGGATGCCTGACCCTGAAGACGAGAAGGAAGAGCACTATGGAGAGGGCATGTTCTGCGAGATTCTGCAAGCCAGTGCTGTAGCGGCCTACAAACAAGAGCTTGGAGGCCCAATATGATCAAAAGCAGAGAGAAAGACAAAGCACAGGCAAAAGGCCCAGGAATCCCAGGAGGACAAGGAGCAGGAAATGCACCAGGACATAATGGGGCTTCTCCTCAGGCAGCAAATCCAAATGCTACAGACTCTGGCTGACCTACAGGTCCAAAAATCCTAGACTCACCAGCTTTTGCATCCCTTGGAGAATCATGGTTGCTGCTCCCTACACCCAGGGCCCGATTAAGGCAGGGGCTTTAGGGGCTGCAGCCTGGGGGCCTGGCTCAAGGAGGTGGCCCGCAAAAATAAATCACAGGCAGCCATCTCCAGGTCACTAAAAGGGGTGCTCAGGCTGTCTGCCTGCCCTGGCCTCACATGGCTCCCAGAAGCGACTGGCTACTGGCACGTCTCTGTGGCCCCTGGCGGGGGGGGGGGGCCTCCATGCACTGCCCCTGCCCCCAGCACCATCCTCACAGCTCCCATTAGCCGGGAACAGGACAATTGGAGCTGCAGAGGTGGTGCTTGCGGGCGCGGGCAGTGCACGGAGACATGATGTCCCCCTCCCACCAGGGGCCGCAGAGACGTGCGAGCAGCCAGCTGCTTCCGGGAGCGGCATGGGGCCACAGCATGCAGGCAGTCTGCCTGAGCCCTGCTGTGCCGCCAGCTGCCTATGGTAAGCGCCTCCTGGCCAGAGCCTCACACTCCCTCCTGCACCCCAATCCCCTGCCCCAGATCAGAATTCCCCTCCTGCACCAAACTCCCTCCCAGCAAAAAGACTTGTACACAAGGGCCCCACAGAATCTAATAGCCCCAGGTCCACAGGAGAGTTAATCCGGCCTTGACTACTCCCACAACATACCACATGGCATCATGGACTGCATCTTTTTTACCCCTACTACTCCACGCCACAGGTTAACAAGGGAAACCAGAGTTTCACAGACTCTGACCTGTGAAAACCACATTGGTGTATGGGTAGCCACAGTGACCTGCACTGAACTACCTTTCTGTTTACTCAAATGAACAGAAATGTTTGCTTCCTTTTCAATTGGAGTTTTAAAAGTTTCAGCCCAATAAGTTATTTTAAAAAAGTGTGCAAGATTGTATGTGTTTGTTTTCATTTTGATTTTGTGCACCGAATTTTTGCCCTAAAAAAAAAAGTTGTATTTTTGGAGACACAAAGTATCTTTATCAGAACGCACAGAAGCAGCCAAGAAATGAAACAGCTCTCATAAACACACACCAAGCACCACAGTAGCAAAGCAATACCACCAGGACCTGGTTTAAACTATGCAAGACAGACACTGTCTCAAGACAGCAAGAGAGAATGCTACTGTGGCTGACTGAAAATGAACTTTTAAAGCCTCCCTCAAACACACAGCTCCAGGTTGGGCTCCTCTAATAGCCCTGGTGTTTGGATGTTCAAATTTAGCAGAAAGTTGGTCAACCTTGCCCCTCCACCCGGTGGTAGCGTTTCCCTTTTTGCCTCACATATATTATGCAGTACACAACATGCAGCTATAACCACTGGGATGTTTTTCTCCCTGAGATCTAATGGAGTGCGTAAACAATCCCAGTGACCCTACGATCTACCAAACCTCATTCAACAGTCATTCTGCACATACTAAGCCAGTAGCAGAATCTTTCCTTGGTGCTGTCAAGGTGGGCAGCGTCCGGCTTCATGCGTCAGGGGATCAAAGGGTCAAACATCACTGTTAGCATTTCCACATCACCAATGTTAATCAGCCACCAAGGAAAGAATGTCCCTGCTTGCAGCTTTCTGAACAATTCTGTGATCTTAAAGATGCAAGCATCATGCACCTTCCTGGACCAACCTTAATTGAGATCAGTGAAGCGTCCCCAGGGATCTAATAGCATTTGCATAACTATAGAAAAATAGGCCTTTCTGTCGACGTATTCTGTAGCAACGTGGGCTGGCACCAAGATAGGGATGTGCATTCTGTCTATTCCCCCACCACAGTTCGGAACCCCATTTTTGCAAATCCATCCACCATTTCTTGCATATTGCTGGGAGTCACAGTCTTGAACCGCATTCAATGGCCTTACACACTTGGATGACAATGGCCCCCACTATGGATTTTCTAACTTCAAAATGATTTCCCACTAACCAGTTGCAATCCAGTGCTTTAAGCTTCCAGAACACGATCACCACTCACTTCTCCACGGCCAATGAGCTCTCGTTCTGTCCCTGCACTGGAGGGCTGGGGTGAGGATGGCACAGATCCAGGAATGTGGCCTTTTGCATCCAAAAGTTCTGCAGCCACTGCTCATTGTCCCAAATATGCATTATGTGCAATCCCACCAATCAGTGCTTGTTTCTTAGGCCCAGAAGAAATACTCCACAGTGTGCAGCTGCTCCATGAATGCCACAAACAATCTGGGATTATTATTTTTTTGCTATGTCCATCAGCAATCTCTCCTCAAATATATCCTCATCTTCCTCATTGTGATCCCAGTGCTCCCTGAAGGTCTGCAGGGTGCTGGAACAATTTGTATAGTGGGGGTGCTGAGAGCCATTGAACCAAACTGTAAACCCTGTATATAATGGAAGCCACTTCAAGCCACTCTCCGCATCCCTAGTTCCAGCACCTATGAAGGTCTGCAAATACAGAAGAATTGTGCGTCCTGTATTTACAATGGTCATAAGAATAGTGCTGAACTATGCAGGTTCTGTGCTTTGGTTAGAGATGGCAGAGACAGAAAAGCACTGCACAGGATGGTGTGATTTAAAAAAATAATAAATTTAAAAAGCACTAAAATTATGGGCTGTAGAAAGTATTAGCGGACGGAGAAAGTTGCATGCTGGGAACTTAACCCTTAGCTCTCAGCCATCCCTGGGTGAATCATTGCTATCCCACAAAACACTGCAAAAAAGTCCCAATAGGCATTGCACCAAAGAGCAGAGCATGGCACACAGGTATACTTACCCAGGGTGCATCACCAATACAAGCAGCCAAAAATGTATGCACCCATGTAATACACAAACTTCAGTAGCTGTATCCTACCATAACTTCGTTTGACCAAAGGTTGTAGTGTAGACATGGCCTCTGACTTGGAAAAGAGGCAATTCATTTTAGTGGAGCAGAGAAAGTGAAAACAGACAGAGAAGGGCGTAAGAGAAGTCCACCCCATGAGAAGGGACAGCCTACACAAAGTGCTTAGCAACAAAGGGGAGGAGAATATGAGGTTGAATGAAGATTGCTTTAGGATAAAGGAAAACAGCAAATTTAAGTACAGAAGGGAAGGATCCAGAAGGGAGACAACAACAGATTGAGTTTGACTGACTGACAAGGAAGGAAAAATCACCCCCAACTGACTAGCTATGCTGGCAAAAGAGCCCTAGCCTAGAAGTAGTTAGACAGCAATAAATCCTTTTTGCCAGAATAGCTTATTCCTTTCAGGGAACTGGTTTAAGCTAGAATAGCAAAAGCTCTCCCTTGCCATATAAACTGCATCTTCCCTAGAGGTCTGCTGGTGCAGCTCTACGGGCGAGCTATGCTGGTATAGACGTTGGGAGTGGATGATAAGGGATGGATCACTCCGTGATGACCTGGTCTGTTCATTCCCCTGGGGCACCTGGCTTTGGCCACTGTCAGCAGACAGGACACTGGGCTGGATGGACCTTCGGTCTGACCTGCTATGGCTGTTCTTATGGCCAAATCCAACCCAGGGAAATCCGTTTTAGGAGGGTGGGATACTTGGAAAGAACGCGAGCTGCCCGGCGCTGCGGGGCCCCGGGCGGGGGGGGAGGGGGGTCAAGGCCTGAGCTGCCCGGCGCTGCGGGGGCGGGGGGGGGGGGTCAAGGCCTGAGCTGCCCGGCGCTGCGGGGCCCCGGGCGGGGGGGGGGGGGGTCAAGGCCTGAGCTGCCCGGCGCTGCGGGGCCCCGGGCGGGGGGGGGTCAAAGCCTGAGCTGGCCGGCGCTGCGGGGCCCCGCGCGGGCGGGGGGGGGGTCAAGGCCTGAGCTGCCCGGCGCTGCGGGGCCCCGGGCGGGGGGGGGGGGGTCAAGGCCTGAGCTGCCCGGCGCTGCGGGGCCCCGGGCGGGGGGGAGGGGGGTCAAGGCCTGAGCTGCCCGGCGCTGCGGGGCCCCGGGCGGGGGGAGGGGGTCAAGGCCTGAGCTGCCCGGCGCTGCGGGCCCCGGGCGGGGGGGGAGGGGGTCAAGGCCTGAGCTGCCGGGCGGGGGGGAGGGGGGTCAAGGCCTGAGCTGCCCGGCGCTGCGGGGCCCCGGGCGGGGGGGAGGGGGTCAAGGCCTGAGCTGCCCGGCGCTGCGGGGCCCCGGGCGGGGGGGAGGGGGTCAAGGCCTGAGCTGCCCGGCGCTGCGGCCCCGGGCGGGGGGAGGGGGGTCAAGGCCTGAGCTGCCCGGCGCTGCGGGCCCCGGGCGGGGGGAGGGGGTCAAGGCCTGAGCTGCCCGGCGCTGCGGGGCCCCGGGCGGGGGGAGGGGGTCAAGGCCTGAGCTGCCCGGCGCTGCGGGGCCCCGGGCGGGGGGGGAGGGGGTCAAGGCCTGAGCTGCCGGGCGGGGGGGGAGGGGGGTCAAGGCCTGAGCTGCCCGGCGCTGCGGGCCCCGGGCGGGGGGGGAGGGGGTCAAGGCCTGAGCTGCCGGGCGGGGGGGGAAGGGGGTCAAGGCCTGAGCTGCCCGGCGCTGCGGGGCCCCGGGCGGGGGGGGAGGGGGGTCAAGGCCTGAGCTGCCCGGCGCTGCGGGACCCCAGACCGGGGAGGCGGCAGGGGCAGCTCACGGACAGGCAGGCTGGGGGCGGGGGGGGGGATCCTTGGCGGCGAATGAGGGCGGGGCGTTGGGGAGGGCTGGGAGGCGGCCATCTTGAAGGCTGGCAGCGACCGCCGAATCGGCCAGCTTTCAAGATGGCTGACTCCGCCTCCTGCCGGCACTTCCGGCTTCTCTCAGGGCCCGGCTGCCGTGAGCCGCGCTGCCCGGCTCGGCGAGGCGCTTCCTCGCTGCCCGGCGGTCTCGCGCCCTTGGGGGGCGGTCGCCGCGGGACATGGCGCTGCTGCAGCTGCTGCTCAGGGGCCCCCGCTGGCGGCGACTCGGCCTGGCGGGGCCCGCCCGGAGCTGGGGCCGGCCTCGGGGCGGCGGAGTGCTCCCGGTGAGTGGCCGCGGCGGGCCGAGCAGGGGACGGGCTGGCTGTGCCCTGCCAGCGGGCGCCATGGCGGCGCTGCCGGGGGCGGGCCGGGCCTGAGGCCGGCTGGATCGCCCGGCGCTGGAGCCCTGGGGTCTGGTCCTGGCTCTGGCAGGGGCCTGCTGGGAGACCGGGGACCCCCCTCCCGCCGTGCCCTGTACAGGGGGGAGACCGGAGCGTGACTGATGCGACCTGGGCCATTGTTGTTCCGGGGGGGGGCTTCCTGTGTAGTGCGGGTGGGAGTCCCTCCTTTCTGCTGCCCGTGGAAGCGTCTTGAGGCTGTCTGGCACAGCGAGTATGTGCAGCGCCGGGCACAGCGGGCGCCACCTGCGTCAGAGCGTCTGACCGCTCCTGGGTTCCGAATAATTACTAAGCACGCTGCCATGGGAGGCCGCTGTGGGATGGGAGCTATCCCCAGGGCTCCTAACGTCTGTGCACTTTCCAGGAATCACCTGCCTGCAGTCCTATGAAACAGAAGAGTTTAATGATGGAGAAGCCCTGCTAGCATGAGAGAGATCCTTTCTGGTATTACCTGTAGCTGGAGCCCTGCCAAATTCACAGCCATGAAAAATGCATCACGGACCGTGAAATCTGGTCTTGTGTGTGTGCTTTTACAGATTTCATGAGGGAGACCAGCATTTCTCAAATTAGGAGTCCTGACCCAAAAGGGAGTTTGCGGGGGGTCGGAACGTTATGTTAGGGAGGGTCGCGGTATTGACACCCCTCCTTCTGCGCTGCCTTCAGAGCTGGGCAGCTGGAGAGAGGCAGCTGGTGGCCTGGTGCCCAGCTCTGAAGGCAAAGCCGCCGCCAGCAGCAGCTCAGAAGTAAGGTTGTACCATACCAGGCCATCCTTACTTCTGGGCTGCTGCTGGTGGTGGCTTTGCCTTTAGAGCTGGGCTCCTGCCTAGCAGCCGCTGCTCTCCAGCAGCCCAGCTCTGAAGGCAGCGCTGCCGCCAGCAGCAGCACAAGAGTAAGGTAGCAGTACCGCAACCCCCCTACAATAACCTTGCGACCCACCCGCAACTCCTTTTTGGGTCAGGATCCCTATAATTACAACACTGACATTTCAGATTTAAATAGCTGAAATCATAAAACTTGCGATATTTAAAATCCTTTGACTGTGACATTGACCAAAATGGACCATGAATTTGGTAGGGTCCTACCTATAGCTTGGTCTTCATTGTTAGTACCATTCAAGTTTCTAAGAGAGAGACCTTTTTTATTTTATTTTTTTTTCTGAAGTCTGAACCATTTCCGTTTGGCAAACATTGATTCCTTTCCTCACTTTTGTTTTTCTTTCCCAGCATAGCTGTGCTACTCGTTATGTCCTTGTTTGTGCACCAACCTTGTAATAGGATTTCATAGAATCATAGGACTGGAAGAGACCTCAAGAGGTCATCAGGTCCAGTTCCTTGCACTCGTGGCAGGTCTAAGTATTATCTAGACGATTCCTGACACTTGTTTGTCTAACATGCTCTTAAAAATCCCCAATGATGGAGATTCCACAACTGCCCTAGGCAATTTATTCCAGCGCTTAACCATCCTGACAGTTAGGAAGTTTTTCCTAATGTCCAACCTAAACCTCCCTTGCTGCAATTTAAGCCCATTGCTTCTTGTCCTTTCCTCAGAGGTTAAGGAGAATAATTTTTCCCCTCCTCCTTGTAACAACCTTTTTATATAATAAAAAAAAAAAAAAAAGGGAAGAAGGAGGATCCTGGGAACTACAGGCCAGCGAGCCTCACTTCAGTCCCTGGAAAAATCATGGAGCAGGTCCTCAAAGAATCAATCCTGAAGCACTTACATGAGAGGAAAGTGATCAGGAACAGTCAGCATGGATTCACCAAGGGAAGGTCATGCCTGACTAATCTAATCGCCTTCTATGATGAGATTACTGGTTCTGTGGATGAAGGGAAAGCAGTGGATGTATTGTATCTTGACTTTCGCAAAGCTTTTGACACGGTCTCCCACAGTATTCTTGTCAGCAAGTTAAAGAAGTATGGGCTGGATGAATGCACTATAAGGTGGGTAGAAAGTTGGCTAGATTGTCGGGCTCAACAGGTAGTGATCAATGGCTCCATGTCTAGTTGGCAGCCGGTGTCAAGTGGAGTGCCCCAGGGGTCGGTCCTGGGGCCGGTTTTGTTCAATATCTTCATAAATGATCTGGAGGATGGTGTGGATTGCACTCTCAGCAAATTTGCGGATGATACTAAACTGGGAGGAGTGGTAGATACGCTGGAGGGCAGGGATAGGATACAGAGGGACCTAGACAAATTGGAGGATTGGGCCAAAAGAAATCTGATGAGGTTCAATAAGGATAAGTGCAGGGTCCTGCACTTAGGACGGAAGAACCCAATGCACAGCTACAGACTAGGGACCGAATGGCTAGGCAGCAGTTCTGCGGAAAAGGACCTAGGGGTGACAGTGGACGAGAAGCTGGATATGAGTCAGCAGTGTGCCCTTGTTGCCAAGAAGGCCAATGGCATTTTGGGATGTATAAGTAGGGGCATAGCCAGCAGATCGAGGGACGTGATCGTCCCCCTCTATTCAACATTGGTGAGGCCTCATCTGGAGTACTGTGTCCAGTTTTGGGCCCCACACTACAAGAAGGATATGGATAAATTGGAGCGAGTCCAGCGAAGGGCAACAAAAATGATTAGGGGTCTGGAACACATGACTTATGAGGAGAGGCTGAGGGAACTGGGATTGTTTAGTCTGCAGAAGAGAAGAATGAGGGGGGATTTGATAGCTGCTTTCAACTACCTGAGAGGTAGTTCCAGAGAGGATGGTTCTAGACTATTCTCAGTGGTGGAAGAGGACAGGACAAGGAGTAATGGTCTCAAGTTGCAGTGGGGGAGGTTTAGGTTGGATATTAGGAAAAACTTTTTCACTAGGAAGGTGGTGAAACACTGGAATGCGTTGCCTAGGGAGGTGGTGGAATCTCCTTCCTTAGAAGTTTTTAAGGTCAGGCTTGACAAAGCCTTGGCTGGGATGATTTAATTGGGGATGGGTCCTGCTTTTGAGCAGGGGGTTGGACTAGATGACCTCCTGAGGTCCCTTCCAACCCTGATATTCTGTGATTCTATGATATACTTAAAAACTGTTATCATGTCCCCTCCCAGTCTTCTCTTTTCCAGATTAAATAAACCCATTTTTTTTTCAATCTTCCCTTTAGACCTTTAATCATTTTTCAGAGTAACAGCCGTGTTAGTCTGTATTCGCAAAAAGAAAAGGAGTACTTGTGGCACCTTAGAGACTAACCAATTTATTTGAGCATAAGCTTTCATGAGCTACAGCTCACTTCATTCACTTTAATCATTTTTGTTGCTCTTCTCTGGACTTTCTCCAGTTTGTCCACATCTTTCTGGAAATGTGGCACCCAGAACTGGACGCAATGCTCCAATTGAGGCCTAATCAGCGCGGAGCAGAGCGGAAGAATTACTTCTCGTGTCTTGTTTACAACACTCCTGCTAATGCATCCCAGAATGATGTTCACTTTTTTTGCCACAGTGTTACACTGTTGACTCATATTGAGCTTATTGTCCACTATGACCCCCTGATCCCTTTCCGCAGTACTCCTTCCTACGCAGTCATTTCCCGTTTTGTATGTGTGCAACTGATTGTTCCTTCCTAAATGGCGTACTTTGCATTTGTCCTTATTGAATTTCATCCTGTTTACTTCAGACCATTTCTCCAGTTTGTCCAGATCATTTTGAATTTTAATCCTATCCTCCACCTCCAAAGCACTTCCAACTCCTCCCAGGTTGGTATCGTCCTTTATAAGTGTACTCTCTATGCCATTATCTAAATCATTCATAGAATCAAAGAATACCAGGATTGGAAGGGACCTCAGGAGGTCATCTAGTCCAACCCCCTGCTCAAAGCAGGACCAATCTCCAATTTTTGTCCCAGATCCCAAATGGCCCCCTCAAGGATTGAACTCACAACCCTGGGGTTAGCAGGCCAATGCTCAAACCACTGAGCTATCCCTCCCCCACATATCATTGATGAAGATATTTAATAGAATTGGACTCAGAACTGGTCCCTGCGGCACCCCACTTGTTATGCCCTTCCAGCGTGACTGTGAATCACTGATAACTACTCTCTGGGAACAATTTTCCAACCAGTTTTGCACCCACCTTAAAGTAGTTCCGTCTAGGTTGCATTTTCCTAATATTTGCTGTATATATTGTCTGTGCTGCAGGAGAGGGTCAAATGTCATGAGGTCCTGCAAACTACATATTATGTGTAGGCTTTGGGCTGTATGCAAAATGTTGTTTAATGTTTTAGTTACCCTTTTTTAGTGGGTGTTATAGGGTCAAAATCCTAAACAGCAGAATAGCACATCAGTTTACAACAAAGATGCTAACCAAAATCTTAAGGATAGGTTAGCTTTATGTTTGTCTTCACAGGAGCAATTATGTAAATAAAGGAGGCACATGAGTTCCATACACATCCTCAGAAGGGATGTAACGTCAGTGGATGTGGCTTGTTTTTTTTAAATTGTTTTCTCATCTTTAACTTTTTAACATCTTTAGGGCTATTATTTGGACAGTTTTTGTCCTTCTTTAATTATATCTGTTTCCAAAGGGGTATAGTTTAAATTGGTGAAACCCCAAGTGTGGGCACATTTATATCCATAGAGGAGTATTTGTATCAATGTAGTTTGTTTTGCAGAAACTACATTCATGCATGGGGGGCTACATTCATGTAAGCTATATCTGCTTCTGAACTGATACAGGTTTTGAACTGGTTTAACTATATAGACTAGCCCTTAAAGAAAATTTAAAAATCAAGTTTGTTAAAATAAGATGTAAAATCACACAAACAAGGAAATTCTGACTTAAATGTTCTCTAACTTATTTGCTCTTCTCTGCTGAAATTCTGCAATGTTTTCATGGTAAGCTTCTGTGACTTTCGTACAGGTGAGGCTTCACCCCCTGCAATATTCCAATCCAGTGAACACGTGAAAAACTGAGGCTATTTCCACAGTAGGAGTGCTTTACTGGTATAGGAATAGCGGTATACACACTTCTAGTATGGACACAGCTGTACAGTAAAGCTGTGCTTTGTACTGGCAGAGTAAAACCACCCCCACAAGAGAGACAAGCTATCCCAGTAAAAGCACAGTTTTGCTGGTATAACAGTGTCTACACAGGGGCTTCAGCCAACACAGATCTGTCAATTAGGGATCACACTTCTTCACACATCTGATCAACATAGCTATGCTGAAAGAAAAGGAGGACTTGTGGCACCTTAGAGACTAACCAATTTATTTGAGCATAAGCTTTCGTGAGCTACAGCTCACTTCATCGGATGCATTCAGTGGAAAATACAGTGGGGAGATTATGCTCAAATAAATGTGTTAGTCTCTAAGGTGCCACAAGTCCTCCTTTTCTTTTTGCGAATACAGACTAACACGGCTGCTGCTCTGAAACCTGTCATAGCTATGCTGGCAGAAGCTTCTAGTTTAAACTTGGCTGGAGTAGCAGGTGTATTGTTGGAATCTTTGCTTCTATCAGTTTAAATTAGTCATTTAACGTTATTTAACAGTATCTTCATTGCAGTGAGAGTGCTGTATGTCACGGTAGGCCATGTCAACCAATTACTAATGTAAACTGTGAAATTTGATCTACAATTCAAGCCAATTCTTGCGTCCATGGAACATCACCCTTAGGGTTAATCAAGACTACAGGCAGTACTTATTAGCTGGTGTGAGGAGTAGGTGTATAGTCTCCTTACTGTGGAATCTGTTAGGTTACGACTTTGCCCTCCTCTAGCGTTTCTCATCTGAGAAAATTCAAGCACTTCACCAATGTTAATGAATGTAGCTTCTCCATATCTCTGACATGTTAGCCCCAGTGTACACTTGAAGGATAAACCTAGGCACAAGAAGAAGAGTGTGACTTCCAAACATTTTAGGCACATGCTCTGTGTGCATGTTAGCTCTCCTAAAACCAGGCTATAAACTACTTGCTCATAATCACATAGCAAGTCTGCAGCAGAGCCAGGAATGATACACAGGAATGATACTCATCCTGTGACCAAATCACAAAAATATCCTTCCTTCCTACTGAGGAAATCTACTTTGATTGCCCTCTGATTCTATGCTGCACTGTGCAGTTTTTCCTGTTACAGTTGTCATCTTTTTTTCTCTTCAGACCCTTCTGTCCCGAACACTTTCCCCCACATTTGAAGGGCTCAGTGGACTCTTAGTGAAGCAACATGTAATTCGGGATCCAGTGAGACTCTGGAAACTCTTAGGTGAGCTCCCTACTAAAGTATTTTTGAGGGGGATGTCTGCGTTGGCCAGGACATTGTCTTTGAAATGGCATTAATTTGGGGTCTACTAAGAAATGTAATTACTTGTAGTATTTTTTTTTGGCTAGTGATAAGCTGTGGCATCTTCACAGTCGGGCTCAGTGGATTGAGTTACCTATCTGAGCTCTGAAACCATTTAACTTGAAAATGTTTTGCATTTGGGCTTACAGTTAAGAGCTTGCATTTTTTTAAAAATGGATTTGCTTCTGTGCCTCATTGGTGAATGTTAATAGGAAATCTTGATGCAGCTTTGACAACAGATATTGTAGAGGGGTGGTGGGTCAGTCCTATCCCTAGGAATTGGGGTGGGGCCAGGATCTGCCACCCTTGGAGCACGTGGAGGTATGTGTGTGGTGGGGTCTGTCTCATCGCCCTACCCTGATTCTCCCTGTCGGGCTAAGGCCCCCTCACATACATGTTCCCAAACAGCAGATCCTGGTCTCAGCTTCTCACCAGCTGGCGCTGTAGTGTCTCCTTGGCATTGCCGGGGGCTCCTAATCACCCTGTGTTGTCATTGCCACCCCTCTTCCTGCTGGCTGGCTGGAAAGGAAGCAGCAGCAGTGGCCTGGACTGGAGCTGTGTGTGGAGCAAGCCAGGCCCCAATCCCTGCCCTCTGCCAGGCTGACCAGCTGATGCCATATGGTGAGAGATCCTCCCTGGCCCGAGCAGTCATCTTAGCCCAATACCATGATTTTTCCAGCAGCAGGGATGCTTCTGCCTCCCCACGATTAGAAAAATCATGTTATTGGGCTAATTTCCTGATTTTTATACAGTCTGTGAAATCACGACTTACACAGGGCCATTGTTCTGGAGCTGGTGAACATGAGCCTGCGTGCTGAGCTGCAACGTGTTAAACCTTTATGTCTGTGTTGTGGTTGAAAACACATGGATGTCTCTTTAAAGTGATGGCTGGGAGGGACATCCACACACTCTGCACAACTGCAAGTGAACTCTCCAGTAAGGGGTAACTTCTGTCAAGTAGTGTAATTTCTAGGCTTGCCTGCCTTTCCATGGAGAGTGCAAGTAATAGCCTCAAATCATTTATTTTCATTTCTGAGTTCTTTGCTGCTCCCTGGCACATAAAGGGAAGCTCCCCCTCAGAGTGTTTACTACTAGTGATAGCGGTGGTTTTTTAAATGATATGTGTATGTATGGACAGATTTGTGTTCTTCAGTTGCAACACAGACAACATTTCCATTAGTATATGTTCACACCCAGTAGTACAAGGATACTGAAACTAGTGCATTGATAAACTCCAAATTTTCTGTTACTCTATAGGAAAGTTTAATAACTAGAAACTGGTGGAGAATTCTCTCCAAAAGACTGTCTGCCATCTTAGAATAATTTCTAAACAAAGCTGTATTTTGACTGGATTGCTGAAAAAACCCCAAACATTTAATTTAGAAATAACATTCAGAGTTTCCTCAGTCTTGGTCACATTCCTCCCTCTGATGTGTGCACCCAGTTTCCACTGAAGTTAATGAGAGTTACACATGAGTAGGGGAGGGCAGAATTTAACACTTGACATATTCAAAGCTTGTACTGTATGTCTAATTTCTCTTCCTGGGTCCCAGAACTAAGTGCTTCAATTACTATCCTTTTCCATATTTATTTGTCTATAGGTGGCACTTACTATTTTAGTACCTCAGGGTCTCGGTGGAATAGCAGTAAGAATGAAGGATCCAAAGGGAAGTCTCCAGAGGAGGATGAGGGTATGTATGAAGTTTTGATACAGAGGATACTTAATGAAATGACGGTTCCAAATTGAAGTGTCATTCCGTGTGTGAGTATGTGCAGGAGAACATGCAAGATCCATGTTAATGCTAAATAGTGCTAGGTATTGCACTGTATACCGGAGCCATAACTGTAAAGTATTCTCAGTCATAGGTTTATAAATCACATGCTGCTGAGTCTAATCCATACATGTCCAAGCTTTGTTCAAAGGTTTTTATTTCTCTTTTGTACATCAATTTGTTTTTTGTAATGTATATCTAGGTTTTGCAGATGTTTAAAAATTTAAATTGATAATAGATAAATTTTTTTAAAAAGCTTAAAAAGAATCAACGTCTGTCAAAATTTAGAGTTGCAGGAAATTATAGTGGTGTGGTCCAGAAAATTATTTAACAGTAGATATTGAGATTCAGAAAATTAAAGCTTTATAACTGTTAAAAGATAAATTGTCAACATCACATGTCAAAATATGCAAAGTAAATGTCCTTAAATCAAACTCTAATTAAAGTTATCAAACAGCATTTTTCTTTCTTCACCTGTAGGCAAATTTTGATTATCATCAGTGGAATATTTGAGTCCTTACCTTTGTTACTAATATCACCTAACAAAAATGAAATCTAAGGAAATATTAAAATCTACATTTCACCACTTCAGCTGTGTACTTCTTGTCTTTTTGAACTTGTACATTGGAAATAAATTAGTCAATTTCACTTTTATGTTAAGCCTTGTCTAAACACAAGTTGTACCAATTTCACTAAATCTGTTCAGAAAACTCTAGCTAATTTGGTGCATTTAGTTAAGCTGAGCAGATACCAGGCACTCTTGAACTGATTGAAGTGTGTCCCCACAAGGGAGTTGCACTGATAGAACTACGTGGGTTTCTAAAGTATCGTAACTAAAGTGGTACAACTGTTGTGTGTAGACAAGGCCGCAATTTCTAATAGGTTTAATTTTCTGATCTTCCTAGGATACTGCAGTGTTTTGGGTTGCAAACACCTCAGGAGGATGTTATTCTTTCAAAATGGTTTCAATTTAAATTTAAAAAAAAATCACTGAGATTTTCTACTGATTTTCTACTTTCTAATAGCTTGGTTTCACAGCACCTATATCTTGAGTCTAAACTGACCTGACAGTGCCCCTTGGTGTTGTCAGCAGCTCTCCTATAGGGGGATAGGCAGTCGCTGTATTCCCTTTTTTTACAAGTGTAATTTGACTCGGCTTTGAAAAGTGACTAAATTGCCCTCCCATCCCATCCCCCCAAGTATAAGGGACTGGAAAAGTTCCCAGTCTGTGACAAGCCTTGCAGTTTGATTCTGTGTATCATGAATTTCCCGCTAGAAAGTCCCCTAGCTGGTGGAATGTACTGTATCCTGGCTTAAGGATTTATTTTAAAGATGTCAGAAATGTCCCATGTGAAAAGCCTCATGCTCTTCCGTATGTATTGTGGTATCTGCTGAAATGTGACAGAGGCCTATAAGACAAGAACTAGCATCTGAGAATTTCTTCTTCGTCTCAGTTGATGCCAGGACTCTCGTCTGTGTGAATAAAGGCCGATCTAGGCTTGCACCTTCCGTGGTGCTATTGTTCGTTTTCTGGAACTTTGGATGAAGGCTAAATCTACAAACAAAGAGGGCTCCACTTTATTGTCACACAATATAATTGCAGTTTGACAATGGCATTATAGTTCTGTTTTATAATGACTAATTTTTAACTACATTTTCACTTAAATACAAAGATTGAGACAGTACAAAAGGCATGACTTTTTTTTTTTTTTTTTTTTTTTTGTGGTTCCAAACATGCTGGTGGGACCATCAGGCTGCATCTGGCCAACTAAATGCCATGCACACTTTCAGACCCATGTATGGTGGTAATCTATAGCCTTTGAGGTCTGTAGGTCAGGAGTGAGGGTCTTGTCAGTTCAGGCAGCCAAACTTAGGCCACTGCTCAAACCACGTGCAAGGAACAGAGAGAGAATGTACAGTGGGATGCTAATACAAATACCACATGGTCTTTACTGAATGTTCTTTTTCTAAGCCTGGGATTTCTGCTGCCTGGAAGACCACACAGAATGATTGTGACCAGAGATCCTACAAGAAGTATTGTGGCTATTAAAATTTGTAAACAGTAACCTGCTGTGTTCAGTGGCCCTTCTCCTGTGATTAATGGATAATTTGACTTTGGGAGGTGGAATTCTCCTCCGTGTCTCTAGCAGAAAGACTGTCTCTGCAGTAATTATTAAAAAGAACTCTTTGGACTGTCACCACAGCCCTTGCAAGCTTTTAATCACTGAGTTCAGATTCGGGGTTAATGGCAAATCATTTCTTCATGAAGGCTTTGAGACTAAAGAGCTGGAAGTGTTCCCACAGTGGTTGTTTGCAAGTGTCTCTTCCAGCTACCATTACTTATTGATTGAATAGTTATTGTGGGCAGTTTACATTGTAATATGAATACTGCATGGCGAAAGTGATTGCATTTTCTGACAAACCAAAGTAGCAGGATGATAGAGGTACAGAAATCAGGAAGTTTGAATTGCATAGCTGTCTCTGCTTTCCCTGAATATGGACTGGTAGAAGTTCTCTCGTAGCAATAAATGTCTTTCTTCCAGTTTTTTAAGGCATTGTCATCTGAAAGTGGTCAGCTGCAGTTTTGAGGGTGAAGGTGCTTCCAATTTGCATTAATCCAGAAATGTTCATCATAGCAACATGTCTGATGGCAAGTTCCGATTTCAACATGATCTTTTTTCAGTGACGTTCTCAAGATTATGGCCGCTTCTCAGAAGAGAAGAGAGAAAGATGAGGAAAGCCCCATACTCTGATCAAGGAAAATATTTCATGCATCTGTCTTGATTTCATCTGAAACTTAGAAAGGAAAAGTGCTTTAACAGCATTTCCCTGGGGTGTTGCTTTTCCATCTGAGATCTCATTGAAAATCATCCTTGCTGCACTTAGATTCCTTTTGTGCGGGGGTTCACCTCTCCCAGAGTTGCCTCCATTGTTTGTAGAAAGGAAAGTTGTTGTCTGTTTATATAGTTCTCATTTAATGGAGCGGGATATCGTCTAGCTTTAAGGTTTCTATCATCCTTGGCTAACGCTGTTCTCCTTTTAATGACGTTGCTGGATGTTAGATTATAGCATTGTGATGAATTTACTCATTTTAGTGTAGCTGGATCTAGCTGATAACTTGGGTGGGAAGATGGCACGAAAGAACAAAAGGGGATGAGCTGCACACAGATCCTGAGCTGTCACTGTGTTCTGAAACCATGACTTTATCTGAAAAGCTGTATTGTTTCTATTTAGTCACAGACCTTTCCTGTTGGAAACATAGAACAGAGCTAGGGAGAAGTGAAAAATGATGTTGCATATCTGAAGGACAGAGGACTTCCTGGGGTCTGATGACTGGGTCATATTTTTTTCCTTGGTTTTGTTGTGTTGTGTAGGGTCTAATTGGTGGCTAGAGATAAATGCCAGTGTAGATGTCTTTGTTATGAATTTGCAAATAAACCTAATCTGGGCTGCAGCAGGCAGACACTCTAAAAATCCAGTGGTGAAGAGTTAATTTATTTCTATGTGTAGAATGGTATTTACGTATGTCATGGTGCCAATGGTGGTAAATTGTATATCAAGAACATCCAGATTCGACCATATAAATGGGGAGAGGACTGTCTTTTTTTATCACATGATGGTCAGCAACTGAAATTAAACATTCTGCCCTGACAGTCCTTTAAAGGCAGCAATCTTCTAAATCTTCTGAAGAAGTCTGGAAAATGCCAGGATTGTAAAAAACAGGTTAGATGCAAATACTAAGACACACAAGTCATTGATTCTCCTGTGGTTCTCAAGCCTTCTAATTGCATTATAAAGTTACTTACTTGACTAGGTGTTTTTGGCATTGTAAGATGAAAAGTGAGCATGTCATTGAAACAAATCCATCTATGGTACCTACAGAACTTCCAGTAGTCTATTAAAAAAGCATTTTTTACACCACATATAATTAAACTGTGTAACTCACTGTTGCAGGATATTATTGAGACTAATAGTTTAGTAAGATGCAGTGCAGATTAGATGCCTCTATTAGATGCTTGTGTAATATTAATAATCATTTTATTATTCTGTATAGTGTAAATGTTGTCAACCTTTTTTGGTTTAGGACATCAGTTGATCAAGAGCTGGTCAGGAAGTGATTTGTGCTGTATTACTGCACAACTGGCCAAGAACATTGTGGTGGGTTTTACTCATTCTCTCAAAATTTCCAGCATTTTCAGCATTTCCAGCCAGCAGCAACCAGACTAGTTGGGCCACTGGTTTGTTACAGTATAGAAAAATGCAATATATGGAGGGGGTTACTGTAGTCAAAGCCTTTCGTTTGATTCCAGTAATGATGCTCCAGTGGTTTTGTTTGATCTATACATGTGTTAGGCCGCTGAAATGGTTACATCCAGGCAGCTGAAATGGTTCCTCAGTTTAGAGTAGGCTGGGATTCTTGATGAATTGACTTTTCACTAACTAGTTAATGGATTTTGACCCTCTAAAGCCTTCTGGACTAGGATTAGATTTAAATAAAAACAAGCCGCTGATCAAAGTTTTCCAAAATGTGTTTGAGATTATCCAGTATGGAGATGAAGAATTTGATTTCTGAGGGCAGCTTCCAAAAGTAAATTTTTGGCTCTTTGTGCCACTTCATTTCCTCTTCTTACTGAATTGACAGTTGAAGTGAAAAACTTGACCTTCCCTTGTATCCAGTGCACACAGTCTCTCTGCTTAGGCTGTTGGGGCACTGGGGAGCTGCTGAACGTGGCAGCAGCTAAAACAGACTCCATGATACAAGCAAATATTTGCTAGCTAATAGAATGCAAACTTTGCCTCCTTCCTAGCAACTGTTAATTTTGGATCTGACTGCATGTACTTTAATAAACAGGCTTTTGAGTTGATACTGTTTAACATGTGGAGAAGAGGAGGCCTTGCGGTCTGACAAGATCTGGGAGCCAGCAAGGTCCTGGATTGTAATGTGACCTAAAACACTGGCTCACTTTGTGACCTTGGACAAGACATGTGACCTTGGACTTCATTCAGCTCATCTGGAAAACTGGCCTTACAAGACCTCGCAGCAAACTCAATGCTGCTTCCGAGTATAGCTTTCCTAGACCAATCAAATTTAGGACTCATACCAAACTATGTAGCTGGTCAATTTTTGGTCTGTTGTGTAATTTTCTATTCTCTGGATCACAGAGCTTAATCATTATATACTCCCCTGTCTCTCCTCTCATATCTCTTCTTTTTTATAAAGAGGAAAAGAAACGCAAGGAACGGGAAGATCAGATGTATCGTGAGCGTTTGCGGACGCTCTTCCTGATAGCTGTCATTATGAGCCTGCTAAATTCACTGACCATCAGCGGGGTCAACATTTCCTGGAATGACTTTGTGAATGAGATGCTGGCGAAGGGGGAGGTCCAGAGCATTCAGGTGGTTCCAGAGAGTGATATTGTGCAAATTTATCTGCACCCAGGAGCTGTTGTATTTGGACGGCCTGTGAGTGTCTTTGTACAATTAGAATGAATAATTCCAGATTAAGCTGTTGGGAAGAGTTTCTTAAATGTATTTCCATTAAAGCCCCAGCTGCTGTTTTGTTCATTACTGATTTCCTTCTCCTCCTTGTCTTTGAAGTTCTGTGTGACTCTTGTCAATTATACCAACTGAGAAATGAATCAGTCTCTTTTTTTTGTTTGTTTTATAAAGAATATTGTCTGAATCTCCCCCATCCCCACTGGTTGGGAGGAAGTCAGAAAATCCATTGCAGATTTTGGAAAAGTTAGATTTTTAAAAAAATTATCCCTAATATCAGCACAATTTAAGATGATTCATGGAGCTAGGAATTGGTAGTAATTTTTTACCACTGGCTGGCTTAGGAAAAACATAATATTCAAAGCAACCAGTGTGGAAGCTGGTTCCAGATGTTTGACAAGCACTAATAATACATGCCTTTTTGTTTCTTTTTAAAACTAAAAGAAGTGTGAGTGCATGTTAGGACACAGGCTGCTGGGCTTGTCACCACTGAGAAACCGAAACTGGCGAGACAGTAAATTATTTCTCTGGTGATTGGCCTATTATTTAGTTGGATAACTTCTGATCGCTGAAAGCCATTACTGTCTATGTGGGGTGCAGATGGTATCTAAGAAATCTACATTAAGCACAAGAAACTCGATTCCTGTGGATTTCTGAGATCCTCATGTGCAGAGCAAGTGCAAGAGCAAGTGCAGGCTCAAGGTATCAGTAAATGTGAACTTTTCAAGGATTAAATCTATCCTCTGACTTGTGTACAAAGTCCTTGCATCTCCTTGTCTGCAGAGACTAACTTCTTTGCTGGATTTCAGCAGATTTTGTCCTTAAAAATTCACAGCAAAGTCATTGTAACTTTAAAAGAAGTGTTTTCTCCTTTAGTCCTGACTTCTGGTCCCATAGCCACTTTCTCACGCTCCACTGGTATTTCTGGCAAGAGGGTAACCCATAATTTAGAGAGGCCTTTATTCTAACTATCCACTGCAGATAGGTGACCTAGTTTCTGCTTTATCCTCACTGTGCAATATGGTTCTCTTGATTTCATGTCCCCAGAGGCTTGCCCTGATGTACAGGATGCAGGTGGCAAATATTGACAAGTTTGAAGAGAAGCTGCGAGCAGCGGAGGAGGAGTTGAATATTGATGTGAAGGACAGGATCCCAGTCTCCTACAAACGCACAGGCTTTTTTGGAAAGTATGATGTTAACTGATCACTTATTTGTACTGTGGTAGTGCCTGGGGCCCCAGTCAGGGATCAGGGCCTTGCAGTGCAAGGCACCGTACACACACATAACAAAGAGATGGTCCCTGCCCTGAAGAGCTCACGTGTGCCCTTCAGAAGTAGCCCCGTCTTTAAAAGACATGTTAAAACTTAGGCCAGGTCTACACTACAAGTTTTTGTCATCATAGCTATGTCAGTCAGTGTGTAAAAAAACAGCCCCCTAATCGACATAACTGTGTTGGCAAAAGTTTTTAGTGTAGATGCAACTATGCTGACAAAGTGCTTTTGTCACTTAACTAATGTGGTTCGGGGAGGAGGTGGTGCTGTGCCTGCAGAAAAACTCCTTCTGTTGGCATGCAGAATAGAATCTGCACATCTGAGAAAAATCCATTATCAGTCACTATGGATTTTTGTAACAGTAGTTTTCCTAATTGAGCACTATGTCTTTAATCAATTATTATAGCGCAAACCATGATAAAACCCATAACACAGTGGGCTCAACAAACATGATATTGGTCCCTCGTTTAAATTACCCATTGGAGGGAATGCTAGATCCATAATGAGCCTTCCCCATTTTATAATGCTTTAAAATTGAGACTGGTTTATTTTGAAGTGAGCCAGGTTATAAAAATATATTCTTAGCTTTAACCCACTACAAAAGGCGCTGCAGTTCAGACAGATAACCGGGTCTGACACTGACTCAGATTTACAGCCACATGCTGAGCAAAACAGCTTTAATGATAAGACACAAAATGTCAATGAGAAGTGAGTATTCCTATTACATTTATAGACTTTTTTTGTTATCCAAAACGAGGATCCTTTGTCAAAACAATTCAGCAAAGGTTAATGTTTTAATTCTAATATGCGCCTCTAACAGGTGAGTGAGCAAAGAGCAAAAGAAGGAAGAAATCTGTCAATCAACTGCTGGCTGGAATTTATTTTGTGTTTTCAAACACTAGCACCAACATTTTGTGGTCTGTTTTCTGCTGCTGTGGTTTATTTGTCCTTCTGTTACAACTGGCAGCTCTTGCAAACCGAGATTTATGGAATCCAGAATGAAAAACAGATTTATAAAGCCCACTCACTGGGGATTTGAATGAGTCCAGAAGCACCTCTGTCCCTGAGAGGAGATATGGTGTTGTACAGGGAAGATTTCCGTAAGAGTATGTGTGGAGACTCCACCATAGGGAGTATTCTTAATTGTGTATTCTCTCTAATCCACCAACAAAGATGTGTAGTGTTGCAATCCTGTATCTGCCAACCCAAGAGGTCCCCTCTCCAAAAAGAAGGCATGGTGTTTCAAGCTACCTTGCTGGTTCAGAGGAGCCAGAGCTGTCTTTCAGCATTCCCTAGCCACATACTTGCAACTAGTATCATGGTGGCAGCATTAAATGGGTGTGCAAGGGTTCTGTTCTCAGTGGTTTGTGAAGCGCAGCAGACCAGACATATCTTTCCCTTAGCAATCATGGTTGGCTATGATGTGTAACTTCCTCTCCTGGAACTTTCACCCTGGATGCCAAACATACTTTTTATGAAGGTATTAGAAAATGCTTCATATAAAAGAGAAACCTGGGTGTGGTCTTGTGTTGTGCTGCCAAGTCCTAGAGCTGGCAATTTGCTTGAATAAATGTTTCAAGATTCAGCAATTTGGTTTTAGTTTTTGATCATAAGGCCTGAGATCTCTACCTCACATTTGTAGATTTACAATTTTTGTATACTAGCCCCCCGGGAGTCTGAACTTCTAGCTGTTCTTTACCTTTCAAAACTGCTCTGCTCTGGTTCTGCTGTGAAAATAGACTTTCTAAAGGTGATCTTGTGGGGTTCCGTATTCTCAGTGGCTTCAAGACCTAGAGCCTGATCTGGTAAAGTGCTGAGCGCTGGCAACTCAAATTTGCTTCTTTCAGAGAACAGAGCATTTGGTACCTTGCAGGATCAACGCCTTGTTTGCTCAGTTGACAAGTCAAATTTGACTTCTTAACTGCCAGCACTGCAGATTAAGGTCTATCAACCCAGCTGCATTCTTTCTGCCTCTTATTTCTCCATGTATGATACTTCTGTGGCCCCCCATTACCATACTACCTGACGGCCATACAATCATAATGTATTTATCCTCTTGAGAGGTAGGGCGGGCTATTACTCCCATGTTACAGATGGGGGAACTGAGGCACAGAGAGGTTAAGTAACTTGCCCAAGGTCACACAGGAAGTCTCTAGCAGAGCAGGGACTTGAACTGGGGTCTCATAAGTCCCAAATTACTGGACCATCCTTCCTCTTACTGCCAAAAAGATTCCGTAGTTGGAACTTAATGGAGAATCTTGTTGCTGATGTAGGAGGCAGAGTAAACTCTAGTTTATGTGCCTGGAGCTGCATTGGAGCTGTAGTGTTTGGGCCCGCCATGCGGATCAGCAGCACAAAGAGGCCAGGCAGCTGTCCTAAGGGTGCATCTGCAAATTCCCCTGGCAATGCTGGTCGCTGCTCTACCTGCTTCTGGCATAGTGGGCATGTAAGAGATTTGACCAGAGTGCCTTGCGTGCCAGCAATCCTTGGCTCTGTAATGTCCCCTGGGGACCATTGCCAGCCAGCATAGATTAGAGCAGCCCTGAGGTGACTCTGATTTACACTGGGAGCCAAATTGGCCCTTGGCTGCCACCTTTGCCTGTTCACCATCAGGTTGGCTATGCTGGATCAGCTCAGAGTCTGTGAAGATCTAGCCCATTTGTTGTTATGAGCAGATATAACTCTGAAAGAGATGGTAAGCCAGACATCAAGAATTATAACAGTCATAAACCAGTCGGAGAACACTTCAGTCTCTCTGGTCACGCGATCTCAGACCTGAAGGTTGCAATATTAAAACAAAAAGATTTCAAAAACAGACTCCAACGAGAGACTGCTGAATTGGAATTAATTTTCAAACTGTTTACAGTTAACTTAGGCTTGAATAGAGACTGGGAATGGATGTGTCATTACACAAAGTAAAACTATTTCCCCATGTTTATTCCCCCCGCTCCTCGGACGTTTCTGTTAACTGCTGGAAATGGCCCACCTTGATCATCACTACAAAATGTACAACATCCTCAGTCACTCCTCACCCTATAGCTGCACTGCTAGCCTCACTGCCAGGACCTTTAAAATCCTGAAAACAGATAACAGTTGGGTAATGTTTACTAATTTAATAACTATCTCATGGCTAGATGCTTAAATTTGTACTTAACTAGCTGTCCTCTTTTCAGTGCCCTTTATGCCCTGGGAATGGCAGCTGTTGGTGTAGCCATATTGTGGTACATCTTCCGCCTTGCTGGGATGGCAGGAAGGGAAGGAGGATTCAGCGCTTTTGTAAGTAGTTTAGGTCCTGTATAATAGTTGTTTTAAAGCTCTTGGTTAGTCTCATTTTGTGCTGGCGCAATTTCCTGCTCTTTCCCCGATAAAGTCAACAGAGGACAAGAATTAGCTGATGCCAGGGACTGTGCGGTCCTGTCATATCTTGCATCTTTTCCTGATCAGCTGACTAGATTGTACAGTAACTGGTTTCACTTGAGGCCCTCTTTCCCTGACTGCAGGAAGGGCTGAGCTCAGTGAATTTCCAGTGCCGTTTACTATGCTATTCTCAAAACTCACTAATGAGTTGCAGCTGCAAATGGTGTATTTCGTTTTGTCCTGCCAACAAGTCTCCCATACAGCCAGGAGTAGGAATCTCTGGGTTTTGCAAAATAACTTCTTGATTTTTAAAATCTGCTCAAATTCTGGATTTCATTATGGGCTGGCGTCTCCCCGCCCATACCCTGCTTGCAACATCAATCAAATCCCTGCCTCTCAATCAGCTGAGGCAACTTGCATAAGTGCTCACGTGCAGGAGCAGTAACTGAGGGGGCTTCTGGATGAAAAGAGTGGAGACCCTAAATCGCCCATTAAGGTGGTTCCCAGCAGCCCCTTCCTGTGCAACCTTCATCTTGCTCTGGGTGACTTTTTTTATGGAGTGAAGTGTAACTGCTTGAATGGAACGAAGTGCTTTAGAAAGCTTTGAGTGTTAGGGGGGCTTTAAGGGCTAGATCCTGTCTTTGTGGAAGTGAGCATAATTAGCTCCACCGTGTTTAACTCTTTTCGCTTGAAGAAGCCGGCAGGTCTGAGGGCCTGAACTGCTTTCAACGTTTTTTCCTCTTAAAAATAAATAAATAAAGTCTTAGTGGCTGTTTTCAGCAGAGCATAATAAGCAGTTACAAGGAGGGTATTTAACTAAATTGTTGTTTTGACTGTCACTGTGGCTTAACACGCACCAGGAGGCTAAAATGTGGGCCCTGGTCTACTTGAGAGCCTATAGTTCCATTCCTGGACTGTCTTGGAACAGTAACTGTTGCAGCAGCACCCGGTGATGGTGGGGTTTGTGTGTTTATAACAGTGTGGATGATAAATAACCATCAATTCCCATTATTTCTTCAAACTGTACCAATAGTAACCAGCTCAGCTATACTAAGGACTAGGGTCAATAAGAATTGGAGAGCAGGGATTCTTGACAAACCGTAGAGATTTGGGTAATGTGCACAGATTTTGAATTAAATGCCCTCAGTTGATGTATGGGGGGAATTGCTGCAGGTTTCCTCCATGCCTGTTACTAATAAAACATTGGTTAATTAAGTTGTTGAGTCACAGTACCCCCCAGCATCCACGGGAGGAAACCTTTTCATGAAAGTACATTACTGAACATGGGGCCTAGAATCATTCTGCTCTGTTACAACAACAAGAGAGACAGTGGGCATTGTAATGCACTTCATATGGGAAGATCACATTCATATATTATGCCTCCTCCCATTCAAAAAAAAAAAGGGTATTCCACTGCCTGATCTTGCACAGCCTATCCAGTGTGGGGGCCTCCCCCCCCATCTCCCTCATCAGTACTGTGCCCTTAGAATTCAGAGTGTGCTGTCCTCCACAGAACCAGCTGAAAATGGCTCGTTTTACCATTGTGGATGGGAAGTCTGGGAAAGGGATCAGCTTCAAGGACGTAGCAGGAATGCACGAGGCCAAAATGGAGGTCAAGGAATTTGTGGATTATCTGAAGGTAAGAGCCTCAAATATGCTTGGTACAAACAGAGGTGGAAGTGGAGGGAGCAAATCTGCCAGACAGCCCATGTGAATGCAATGTGATTCCAGCTGTTACTAGCTTTCTTATCTGCATAAATCTGGTGCATGCACTAGAGACAAGAGGAGGTTGTGGAGATTCTCTCTGCTGAAAGAGAGTGTTTGACTCAAGATCAGGTTGGCTTGTGGCTCCTGTCCTTTGTGAATGAGATGCCTGGTGCCTGCCGTGCTTCAAGTGTCCTGTAATCCCCTCCTCTGCCTTTCCTCCACCCGAAAAGAGAGAAACAAAATAAGAGTGCTGTTGCATTTACCAGTGGTACCCTGGAATAGTCTGGCAGCCTGGGGCGTAGGGCTCATTCTTCTTCTTTGTCCTGTGGGGATATTGAGCAGCCTCCGTTTTAACAAGCTGACGGTCTTCCAAGGCTTTGGTCAGTGACGGCAAAAGCCAGACTCTGTATTGTCTGGTTCCTGAGGGAGAAAGGACAGACTGCTGTTCACATGAGTCCCGAGCCGGCAGCTGCTGCTACTGTTACGTATGTTGGGAAAAGCATCCAGTGAACCTCTGCACAAGTCTTTTCTTCTGGAAACACTGCTCGTGAGGCCAGATACCTGATGGAATTGTGTTGTAATTCTAGAGCCCAGAGCGCTACCTCCAGCTTGGGGCCAAAGTGCCCAAAGGTGCCTTGTTACTTGGACCACCAGGCTGTGGAAAGACCTTGTTGGCAAAGGCAGTGGCTACAGAGGCACAAGTGCCGTTCCTGGCAATGGCTGGCTCTGAGTTTGTGGAGGTAATAGGAGGTAAGTCCTCTGACCTTCTGTTAGGAAGAAAAGAGAAGATGTAAAGCAATCTGTGGTGGGAGCACACAAAGTTGCTGCCGTCTAGAGTAAGCGTTATCCATGTCTGTGACAAGAACCTGAACTCCTAGTTGTCTTTGCATGGGGAGTGTTTGAGCAGGACTGAGTGTTTCTGCAGAGGGTATAAAACACTTTGTCATCAGTAGACAGTGCCATTAGTGCAGCTACGGGAATGTAAACTCCTTCCCTCTCACCTGTTCATCTGTTTAGAAGAGAGTTCTTTGTCGTGTTGTCTACAGCAAGCCTTCATCCGAGAGAGTCTGGTTTCCTCAGACCCTTCGGGAACGTTCCTTACTACCTAGGATGTGGTGTGGGAACTCCCATGCATCTTTGTTTGTTTCTAATAATACCCACACACCACACATGCTCTTTGGGGTAGAGCCCTTACTCTATAACCATCCATTCACTGACTTCCCTGCCTTTACATATGTTCTCTTGTCTCGTCGTTCAAAAACCTAAATCACTCCCGTTGAGGCTGCCCTCTTCGTATGTATCCCCTGGATTCCCAGTGCATGAGTATAACGCTCTTTCCAATGGAGAATGCTGGAACGACATATAGCTGCACCCAGTCCTTAAAGCACAGCACAGGGGCTGCATGCAGTTTGCTAATGTAGCTAAGCATTTAAACCCCTAACCCTGTGAAAGGAGCAGGTGTGCTTGTTTGCAGTTGGGTGCGGAGCTTTCCTAGAGCAGTTGCGCAGACAGACTAACATACTGAGTTCAGCTTAAGAGGCCGTGTGATCCAGTGGATGGGGACTCAGGGTACCTGGGCTCTAGTGCCTAACCCATGAGGGGACCTAGGACAAGTGTTTCTCTGTACCACTTTTCCCTCCCAGCCTTTGTGTGCCTTGCCTTTTTAGACTGTAAGCTTCTCAGGGCAGGGACTGTCATTTCCTGTGTGTGTACAGGGCCTGGGCACTATCTCGGTTGGGGCCTCTGGGTACAACTGTACTACAGATAATTAAAATGCATAGCAAGTAAGGATTGATTCCTGCAACTCTCTCTTCATCTTACCCTTTGCCCTTCTCTAGGTCTTGGAGCTGCTCGTGTAAGGAGCCTCTTCAAAGAAGCCAGGGCTCGTGCCCCGTGTATTGTGTATATTGATGAAATAGATGCTGTGGGTAAGAAACGCTCAACCAACATGTCCGGCTTTTCCAACACTGAGGAGGAGCAGACCTTAAACCAGCTGCTGGTAGAAATGGATGGTTAGTATTACTTTCTTTCAGCCAGGGATGAGGCCTTTTCTGCCTCCATAAAGATTCAGCTTCTTAAACATGCATTTTCACCCTTATCGGTCATGTTGCTTTACCATTCTCCTCATGTTTAAGTATTTTCTCTTTTTCCCTATTGACGTGAACTCCATTATCCCCCTCCCCTTGCCAGTGTCTCCTACTGCATCAAGCTGCAGCTCACACAATGCTCCCTGTCCTGCAACCCTCTAAGCCTCCAACTCAGATAGTGTCTCCTCTAGATCCCACTGCACGTGACGGGTGAAATCTGTGGCTCTTGAACACCTGTAGGGAGAGGGACCCTGCCATTAAAAGTTGGACTCTTTTTCAGAGTTCTCAGGTGTCAATGTGGCCTCACTGGGCCTTGTTCTGACATAGCAGATATATCACTCACCCAGAGGGTACCTCTACACAGCAAGTAAAAACCATTGGCTGGCCCATGCCAGCTGACTCGGGCTGCAGGTGGTTTAATTGTGTGTAGACTCTCGGGCTGAGCCCATGCTTTAAGACCCCGCAAGGTCAGAGCGCAGCCTGAGCCCAAATTCCTACACTGCAATTTAAAAAGCCCCTTAGCCTGAACCCCACAAACGCAAGTCAGTTGGCACAGGCCAGCTGGGGGTGGGGGGTAATTGCAGTGTAGATGTATCCAGAAGAGTACTTTTCTGTTATGTTCTACTTGCTCAGCTGCTGTATTGAGCGTGTGTCGTAGGGCGAGCAGAAGCAGCTGCATCTCTTCAGCAGAGAGTTTCTCAAAGCCAAGTGCTTTACACTTTGTTCCTGTTTTCCCTCTTTCTCCCCGCAGCCTACCCAGCCATCCCCACAAGAAACTCTGTGAGAGTCCTCTGGGACCTCAATTTTCACCTCACTCCCCCTCACCACACTCCATTTTTCCTCAGTATACTGAAAGGCCCCACATCGTAGCAACCGTTCCTCTGTCTTTGGAAGACTGGACATGAGTCTTTTCAGGGCCTGTAGTTGCTAGAGAGTAATCGGAGACTTCTAGGAGACAGACTTTGGTCTTGATTTCTGCACTGCCACTGGATCATTGGGCCAGCCCTCATGAGAGTTTCATATAGAATTGGAAAAAGGATATAATCTCTGGCTACTAACAGCGGTAGGACTAAATTTAAAATCCTCAGGTGAGTAGGTTTGTTTAGTGGTAACTTTAAAGGCTTATGAGACGGATAAGAGCTTGCTGTGGTGTCCTGAGGCAGTGTGTGCACTGGAGATAACTTTGGCATCATCTTGCAGCCTGCTAATAGAACCAAGGCAACATGTGCATCAAAGACTGTGGCTGGAGGAGGCCAGGAAGCCCAAAGACGCTCTTTAATGTACTATATAATTGTTTCAGCTCAGAAATATGTCTTCCCACTAGTGACTGTATGGAGATAATTTACAGCCCAGAAGAAGTGAAGTAAAGCTAGTCTGCATTAAGGGCAGAACAATGTTTCGTGGGTAACATTTGGGGTTAGCCAGCCGTTAAATATTCTTTAGTACTTGTTACAACCTGTCCAAGACAGGTAATTTTAAAGCCTGATGGGATTTAAAATTTAGTTGTCCCAGAGGGACGTAAGCAATGTAGTAAATTTCCTCTGCTGTCCTCTAACTTAATCTCCACCTTCCCGGCTTCGCTAGGAAATCCACATCCAAATCAGGGGAGACAGCCTTATGGTTTGCAAGCCAGCCCTGGGTGCCACTGCCCAGCCTCTGAATGTCTTTCTGGCTAGACCCCACCTGGTGTCGGCCCTGCTTATTTTGGGCATTTACAAAGAGACTTGATGGGATGAAGGAAAACACACATTTGACTGCTCTTGTTTGTAACTGGGGTCTGTCAGCCCCTACAGCACTAACCCAGCTTGCATTACTTCTGTAGCTGAGTCTTATTACTGTAGAGCAGGACAAGGAATAGATGTGTCAGGGCTCTGCCCAGCAGGGAATAGTTCAGATTCTAGGATACATTTGGTGGGAGAGATCCCTTTTTTCCCCTGTTTACTGTCATGGAATTTGCTGCCTCCCCAAATTGTCTCCATGCAAGAAATTCAGTGCAGCGGTGAGGTGTGAGAAATGCTTCTCCTGCAGGCCCTTCTGGGATCTGAACTCCAGGCTGCTTCCTGGGGTGTAGTCAGTCAGGAAGGAGATTGGAATTCGATTCACTGCTGGGCTGAGGGTAGAGCAGCTTCTGCAATTTGTGCCCCACCAAGTTCCTGTTCCTCAGTAAGGCTGCCCCTTAGGAGGGTGCTTTGATGTAAGCCTTAGCTGCTGGCAAGAGAAGTTGCACTAGCTGCCTGCGCATCAGAATGCACCTGTGATCCCCCTGTGCCTCTCACAAGATTGTCAGTGGTTATGGACTTGTACCCTCCCCCCTGAGAGGAGAGGAATTTAAGCTAGAGCGTAGTATGAGGTGAGGAGGGACATGGACTGTTCTACTGTGCAGGGGTCTACAGGGTGCCACTGTTTCAGAGTGGGTTCTGTGATAGCCCTGCCGGGGGAGGGGAGAATGAGCTATGAGTTTGCCTTGAGTAGTCAGACAGCTGAGTGCCTTGTGCCCACGAACGGCCTTGAAGCCAGTGCACAGTGTGCTGGAGGCGCCATGGGCCAGGGTTCCAAAGCCACTCTGAATCCATGCTCGCAGTCCCTGACGCTTTGTGCATACCTCAGCTTTGGAAAACTTGACCAAAGATGTAAGCTTACTTGGGCTTGGCATTACCACCTCAGCTGTATAATGCACAATAGGTTTCTTGGTGGGCAAAGACCAGGAGTGGCTCCCGGGCCAACTACTGTCCATGGCCACGCTCATTTTAATGCAGCAGGGTGGCCTGGAAGGACACTACGTCGCAGCACGAGCTACTGCATCATGATTCAAGTAGAGGGCCATTGGACCAAAATGAAGTTTCACATTCTGGGAAGTGTAGTCCCCCCTCTTTTAAAGATGAAAATGTCTGCGGTCTCCTCCAGTTTATAGAAAGCAGCTGTAGTCCTGGAGACCCTGGTGAGTTGCCAATTCCAAAATTAGGGGTTACAGGTGTCAGAATATGAAATATGTGCTTTATAGAAAGTCTTTACTAACGCACAAATGGATTCTCTTCACTCTATTGCCACAGGCTGCCTTCTGAAAAGAAATATTTATTTATTTATTTATATTACTGTAGTGCCTAGGAGTCCTAGTCATCGACCATGACCTCAGTATGCTAGGCACTGTACAAACAGAGAACAAAAGGATGGTCCCTGACCCCCCACGAGCTTGCAATCTGAGTATAAGACAAGAAACAGCAGATGGAGACAGAGTGATGGGGTAGTACAAGGAAACAGTAAGACAGTAGGTCGGCATGATATGCCATGGTCTCAGCACACCAGCATCCTAACCAATGTCAAATTTTTTGGAGGCATCCTGGAAAAGGAGAGTTTGAAGGAGGATGAGTTAGTTTTGCAGATGTTTTCAGGGAGCTCCTCCCAAGCATGAGGGACAGCATCAGCGAAAGCACAAAGGTGTTTGTTTTAAAATGTATCAAGTGGGGGATGGAGAATGATATGGACCAATTGGATGCTTGAGTCGCCATTTTAATAGTGAATAAGAGATGACTGGTCAGGTGGGGTGGGCCATGAAGGGTGTTGAAAGTGAAGACTGGTAGCTTACGTTTAATGCAAAGAGAAGGGGGAGCCAGTGGAGGGATGCAAAAGGGGGTGGGGGTGGTGATGTGGTCAAAGTGAGAGGCTAGGAGACTGAATTTGGCAGCAGTGTTCTGAATGGATACAAGTGGGATAAGATTGCATTTGTAAGGCCAGAGAGAAGGATGTTTCAGTAACAGAGATGTGAACCTGGATGAGAGTTTTACATGAGAGTGCAAAGTAGTACTCTTAGGAAGGAAAAATCAAAAGCACAACTACGAAATGGGGAATAACTAGCTAGGTGTTAGTACTGCTGAAAAGAATTGGGATTTTAGTGGCTCACAAATTGACTATTAGTCAACAGTGCAATGCAGATCTAAAAAAGGCTAATATAATTCGGGGATGTATTGAAGGAAGTGTCATATGTAAGACACAGGAAGTAATTGTCCTGCTCTATTTGACACAGGTGAGGCCTCAACTGGAGTGTCCAATTCTGGACGTCATACTTTAGGAAAGATGTGGTTAGATTGGAGAGAGTCTAGGCATGTTTAATTTTGAGAAAAGAAGACTGAGGAAGGGACCTAAATAAGTCTTCAAATATGTTAGAGGACAATAATCGGTTGTTCGCTCCTGAAGATAGGACAAGAAGTAATGGCTTTAATCTGCAGCAAAGGAGATTTAGGTTAGATATTAGGAAAATCTTTCTAGCTCTTAGAGTAGTTAAGCTCTGGAACAGGCTTCCAAGGGAGGTTGTGGAATCCCCATCGTTGGAAGTTTTTAACAGCACAAACTCCTGTCAGGGATGATCTGGGTTTACTTGGTCCTTCCTCAGTGCAGAGACCAGGATTAGATGACCTCTTAGGTCCCTTCGGGCCCTACATTTCTGATGCTGTGTTTCTATAGGACAGGCTGTATCTCAGAGATTGTATGCAGAGAGCATCTGCAAGATTTAGACATAATTTGGATGTGAGGACCTAAGGGATCTGAGTTGGATACCCAGGGTATGCTCCCGAGTGACAGGCAGGATGGTGTATTGTCCATAGTGATTGAGGAAAGGGGGCTGGGGGGCAAGGTGGATTAGGAGCTCCGTTTTAGCTATGGTGATCTTGAGCTGACACTAGACATTGATAAGTAGGTGTCAGAGACAGGCCAAGATAGTTTGGAGTAGAGGTAAATCTGTGAGTCATAGAATAGCTTATATTTGTGTTTGTGCCTGAGATTACCCAGAGATAAGGTATAGAGGAAGAAGGAGACGGGGACCAAGGACAGAGCCCCAGGGAACCCCCCAAAAAGCTGGAGGGGGGTGAGGCAAATCCTTCGAAGGAGATAGTGAAGGAGTGGTTAAGCCCAGCTAAACTGAGTGAATGTAAGTTTGTGTCTTGTTAATTTCACTGTGCAATTCAGAGAATGATTGTGGTGTTCCTCATGCATACAGGCGACCTTGCTCTCCATCAGATCTGTGACAATGTTCTTCAAGTTCTGGTCATGCAGCAAGGGAAGAATAGAGCACTGATCAAGGATGCGTGGTATTGTATTTACAAGTTGTTCAAATTGCCTGGCAATATTCATAAATTTAACTCTTTCTCAGAACAGATAAGCAGTTTGAATAGTGAATTTTCTGAGCACAAACAACTAAACAGCAGACAAGGAAGCACAATCCCCCCGAATCTTCTGCAATGTCTGAATAGATGAGACCTTTAAGGCCAAGATCCTGTCTGCATTACAACAGGTTTCAGAGTAGCAGCCATGTTAGTCTGTATCTGCAAAAAGAACAAGAGTACTTGTGGCGAGTGAATCTGAGGAGAGTGAATCTGTGTGGGGGGGTGGAGGGTGAGAAAACCTGGATTTGTGCTGGAAATGGCCCACCTGGTGATCACTTTAGATAAGCTATTACCAGCTGGACAGTGGGGTGGGAGGAGGTATTTTTTCATATTCTCTGTGTATATATAAAGTCTGCTACAGTTTCCACGGCATGCATCCGATGAAGTGAGCTGTAACTCATGAAAGCTCATGCTCAAATAAATTGGTTAGTCTCTAAGGTGCCACAAGTACTCCTTTTCTTTTTGCGAATACAGACTAACACGGCTGTTACTCTGAAATGTGGCACCTTCGAGACTAACAAATTTATTAGAGCATAAGCTTTTGTGGGCTACAGCCCACTTCATCGGATGCGTAGAATGGAACATATAGTAAGAAGATATACATACAGAGAAGGTGGAAGTTGCCATACAAACTGTAAGAGGCTAATTAATTAAGATGAGCTATTATCAGCAGGAGAAAAAAACTTTTGTAGTGATAATCAAGGTGGCCCATTTAGACAGTTGACAAGAAGGTGTGAGGATACTTAACATGGGGAAATAGATTCAATATGTGTAATGACCCAGACGCTCCCAGTCTCTATTCAAACCCAACTTAATGGTGTCTAGTTTGCATATTAATTCAAGCTCAACAGTTTCTTGTTGGAGTCTGTTTTTGAAGCTTTTCTGTTGCAAAATTGCCATCCTTAAATCTTTTACTGAGTGGCCAGAGAGGTTGAAGTGTTCTCCTACCGGTTTTTGAATGTTATGATTCCTGATGTCAGCTTTGTGTCCATTGATTCTTTTGCGTAGAGACTGTCTGCTTTGGCCAATGTACATGGCAGAGGGGCATTGCTGGCACATGAACACTTTTCAGAAGCAGTTATTTGCCCTGAGTCCTTGGCCAAAATCTCCCTCTTCCCAGCTCTTGTGTTGTGAGCCAGTTGCTGGCCTGACAGCTGCTCTGCACCCTGCACAGTGGCTGTATTTCAGTGAAGCTATATGTGTAAGGCTGAGGTACTTGGTTACAGTAGTGGTGGAGGAAGCAGGGGACTTGTTAAATCAACCAAATCCTCTTCACCATTTCCTTGAAATGGTTTGTCTCACGAGTGCTGCAAACAAGAAGGTTTTTCAAGCTGGATTCCCAGCACTAGCTTTAATTCGCAGTCACGGACTCTTAGGTGTTACTTTTATAGACTGCTCATTGTGACTGATGCTTGCATGCTGAGGCCAAAGCATGTTAATAGCCAGGTGACATCATGCTGGGAGGATTAGTATAGATTCAAGGCTGCTGGTCTAGATTTCCTGGAGCTGTAAGTTTCCCACCCACTGGGACCCAGACTGAAAGCGAGTGTGACAGAGGCTGATGCAAGGAGGGTGCAGTCAGTGGTTTTTGTTTTTATGTTTGTTCTAATAGTTCAACCTATTTTAAGACTGAGTCTTCCCAGCTGCAAAGCAGATGATGCGCTGTACATTCTAATCCTTCCCTGTGAATAAAGCTTGTTAGCCCCCAGGTGACTGCCAGTCTCTCTGCTTATTTATCATGCTCTAAAGTGCAGTGTAATACATTACCAAAGAACGATTGTGCTTCATCCTTTTCAGGAGCTTATTTAGAAGGCATCCTTTGGGGGGGGGGGGAGAACTGATGTTCACTGTAGAACAAGCCGCTTTTTTCTATAGAGCCATTCCACTGACTTACCTGTAACCTTAAACTCTCCACTGAGCTATAGTATATTGACACATTTGGCAGCTTTGCTGTTGGAATTGTGGAATGCTCACTCATCCCTTCCCCTGGAAGCTTGCTGCATGCCTTACAGCTCCGAGGGCTCTTGATGTCTGCTGTTGTGAGACAAGTGTATTAGAGTGACCCATGTCCATAGCCATCTGAGCACCTGATGGAATATAATAAGCAGCATGGCTTGATGCCTCAGTGTGGCACTTCTGCTCTCCCCTAAGCTAAACGAGCAACTGCCCCTTCGTACCTTACTCCTGCCTTGGGCATCATGCCTTCCATGAGGCCCCCAACACGTGAAACCCTGTCTGCCAGGCTCCCTTCCCACAAGCCCCTCTTTAAAACACACAAGCATCACAGGTTTGTTAGCCCTATAACTCCCTTTTATCCTTATCAGCCTGGAAACAAAACCCAGTGTAAATCATGGCACCCAGGAGCTGTGTGCACTGAACATCGCTGCTCAGTCCCTTTTTTGTTGCATTCTGTCCCTCATCTGTATGTTGTTTGTTTGGGTTATAAGCTCTTTGGGCTTGGACTCTCTTTATACTTGTGTATCGCACACCTGGGATGCCTTTGTTTACCAAGGGGTGCAAGGAAAGACCAAAATCCATAACCCGCTTCTGATCCCACACACAACTTCTATTCCCCCCTTCACACATTACTAAAAAGAAGTAAATGTCTTCAGTCTTGCCTGCCGCAAAGGATGCCACAGATGTACTGTGGCTGAATGTTGTAAAGCTGTGGATGGGATTCTCCACTTCCCATCGCGCCTCAAGCAACATGAAGCCTGCATTGTACGTTATGATACAGAAATCCTTCCCCTTCATGTCTGCTCTCGTTTTGCTACAGGGATGGGAACCACAGATCATGTCATAGTGTTGGCTTCCACCAACCGTGCTGACATCTTGGATAATGCTCTGATGAGACCCGGGAGGCTTGACAGACACATTTTTATTGATCTTCCCACGCTCCAGGTATGTATCCCTTCCCACCATCTGTGTGTGTGAGAATCTGGTGTCACAAAGCTTCACTTTTTGGTCAGTATCTGTTCTGGCAAAGTCCAAGTTTGGCAGTATTGGGAACGGCAATCCTGTGTTGCCCATCTTACGGGGACTCCATGGTATTAGCTCCTCCCTTTGCTTAAATCTGGCCTTGCCTGAGAACTTTGCTTTAGAGTTCTCCTTTTGTCATGGAGACAGCAATTTCATGCGTATCTGTATCCTCTCTCCATGAAACTAGGAGCTGCCTAAACTGGTTCTGTAGCCAATACTGCCTGTCTGGGCGGAGCCCAGGTTAGTAATGCACCTTCACCATTCATTCCTCTCTGCTACCTGCACTCCTTAATTTGTGTTGGGGCTTGCCAGGGCTGAGCCCAGCACCTCTAGGCTTGGCAGTTCATAGCCCGGCACCTCTGGGCTTGCCGCATCAGTTATGAAAGTAAAAAAAAAAAAAGAAATTGCTTGAGCCCCAGCTCCTCTTTCATTATAAATTAAGCACTACTTACCTCACTCTGTCTTGCTTGTGTTTGGATACCCACTCTCTTCCTTGCAGCCTGCTTGGCATGCGTATCCTCCTGAACCAGGAGCACTTTCAGAGCCATTTAACAGTGGGAGTCCAACATGTTTGCTAGGATGGGACTTGTAGCAGAGTCTGGACACAGACTCTGAAAGCAGCAAGGAAGACTCACTCTTCCAGCAGATTGTCTCCTCCTTCCATCTGCGGCTTTACTGTCATCCACAGATTTTTCATTTAAAATACCTTAAATGCCTGATACAATCTGGCACCGGAAATATGAACTGTGCAGCTGCCCCGAAAGAGGAGGGGGAAAACCCCTGGCAACGGAACCTGTTGTTTTAATCAGGACCTCCTGGACCAGCTGAATGAGTCACTCTTTGGCCCCTTGCCAGCTCTCATCTAGCCCCCCCAACTCAATCTAAGAAATGGCCATATGTCGCACAGTGAGTAGGAGACGTCTTCACAGTGGCAGGGGAGGGAGCAGGCTCTTGGGCTGTGAGCTCCTGATTCCTTTGCTTTAAGTGCTATGCTGTTAAAGAAATGTTCAAAGATCAATGAGGGTGAAAGTCAGGAGGGGGGCGAGTTCCCCTTGGAGAGAGGAGCCGGTGACTCATTGTAAGCCTCCCTGTGTCTGTCCTGAATTTGAAAGCTCCCTCAGTGTCACTGGAGAAATCAGAACGGTAAATACTTTGAGGCTCAAAGCAGGGCATCTCGGCCCTCTTGTGGTTGTGTCCTCTTCACAGCTTTCAGAATGTACTAGTCACTTGTGCTTCTTCCCTCCAGCTTCCCAGTGACGGAGCTTGCTGCCATGTGTGATGGGGGGACATTTATTCCCCCAATCTCACCTCCAGGTGACAGCGGTGCCAGGTTGCTGGGCTGGGGCGCAAACCCCTCCATGCAAACGCTCTTCCTTTTTATTACAGGAGAGAAGAGAGATCTTCGAACAGCACCTAAAGAGTCTGAAGCTGACCCAGGCTGGCAGCTTCTATTCCCAGCGCCTGGCTGAGCTCACCCCAGGATTCAGTGGTATGAGCCATGCTTGTTCCTTAGGCGGGGGTTGAGACTTGTAAGGGTTTCCTTGTTTGTGAACTCAAGGGTTGGTTGTTTTAGCCGCACCCTTCTTTACAATGTGTGTTGGTCTGAATGGTTTTATTTCCTCTCTGCTCCCTCTCTTGTTGAAATGGCCAGAACCTGCACAGACTCTCTTGGATACAAATGTGTGTGTGGATGAGCGACTGCTTGTGGATGCTTTTCAGTCTCTGAACGTTTTGGGCATCTAGCTGTTTTCTACCTCGGTGGTGGGGTGGAGGGGAGCCGTTACAGCACTCATGATCCAGATTCCCATGGGAAAGAGCTGCTGCTTTTGCCTCTTCCTGGTTGCTATTGAGAATGAGATGCTGTCCCTCAGTGCATTAAGCTGAGGAAATCAGAGCGTAGATCAATAAACACTTTAACAAAAAAATAATTCACTGCTGGGTAGAAATGAGTAGAGGTTACTTTGTAGAGCAGAGAGGCTACTTCGTAAAATCAAGCCACTCTCCACATTCCCACACCCTGGAACTTTTAGGGATAGCTGACTGGAACACAGCTTCTGACCACGGGCTCCAAGGCTTCTGTCTGCATGTAGTTCCTGGAATACCCTTGCTGGGTTGCCCCTCTAACAGGCCCCAACACACTGCTTCTGTTGTGACTTCTTGCAGCAGCTCTCGCCCCCCACCCCCAATCACTCATGCACACAAACTCAGAACAGATGTTTTCTCTCCTGTGGAGAGGTTTGTGCAGTTGCTGTAAGAACAACGCAGTGGCCCAAGCCAGACCAACTACCCACACTGCACCGCTCCCCTATTGCTGAGAGCCAGCGTGGGCTTTCACCCTGCTGACTGATAGCTGAGCTCTGTCCTGTGCGGCAGCCCAGTGCTGATTGCCAAGAAGCCAACCGTGTTATTTAAATCAAACATAAGCAACACAAACAAAGTTCGTGCTCTCTTCCAAGGAACAAAGGGAGCTGGTGATGCAGGTGTATTTCATTTCCATAGAGCCTCCACCAGGTTTGTGCCTGCCTTTTCTGTCCTCCTGTGCTCTTTGTCCCTCATTACAAAAAAAGCTTGATTTGTTAACTCTTATCTGTAGGCGCTGACATAGCAAACATCTGTAATGAGGCTGCTCTCCATGCTGCCAGGGAAGGCTATAAATCCATTGATACTTTCAACTTGGAGTATGCTGTAGAGAGAGTCATTGCAGGTAAGAAGCCCTGACCTTTTCTCATACTTTCTAATGCCTCCATGGTGCTTGTCATGCTTTTTGGAATATGGTTCTTTAGTGGGCAGAGTTCTAGCAAGACATGGTTCTGATCATGCTCTCCCCTTAGTACAGGTAGGGCTTTGGGAATCCTGCAGTTGCAGAATTGTGTTTGAGAGTCTAAGCATTCTTTTTAGAACATGTGTTTAGCCCTTATGGTGCAGAGAACTTTCCAAACCTGAGCCCAAACTAATAGTTCTCTTCTGAGTCTATAGACAACCTGAACCAGTAGGTGCAATCTGCTCCTATCACAATAGGGTAACTCTGAAACCTAAGAAGGACAATTCACATGTTTGTTCTTCAATTCTTTACATTTCTAAAATGTAGCTTTCGGTGTCCATCCAGCACTCTGGGCACCTATGGCATAAATGTAAATAGCAAAACCATGCTAAAGAGATGCCCCCTCCTCAACAGCCATAGAGAAGAGTGAAAAGAGGAGCTTTGCAGTATGCCTGCCAGGTTAACAAATCCAGATTCTGGTGGACCAAGTTGGGGTGAGCTCTAAAACTGAGGAGCCCTTGCAGAGAACATCCTGCCAGCAACTCCATGTTGTTTGTGTTGGGGGAGCTCCAACTTGAGCACTTATCCCACAGTCCCAAGCCAGCTGCCATGTTTTCCCAGGTGCCAAAGTCACAACTGTCCCCCAATGAGCTGATTAAATTTCAGGCTCTTCTCCCTTAACCAGAAACTCCGACAATGCAAATTATGAACTGTTAATGTAACAATCTGCAGCACACTGAAAATTTGTGAGCAGAGTATGTTTAATATCAAAATAAGCCAGGGACTACACTGTACCAATGGTAGTATTCTTTTTTAATTCTGTAAAAACCTATTTGAATTTACCTGAAACTGCCAAAGAATTTTGAGTCTGCTGCACTAGAATGCTGCAGAATTTCGGTCCATTCCGCTGCAGAGCACACAAGGTCTTGATTATGAGAATGCAAATGTTTGGCTACTTACATAGTACAATGCCACTATATGAAGTGTGATACTGGACACATACAAGAGGCTGCATGCTTGTCTAGTGAGGTACTCTATCGGATGGTTATGGCCCATGGGCCAGAACATTTGTGTTGGGTGAGCTGTTTCCTCATTTGGAGTTTTAGTCTTGTTTTTATTATAAGGTGCTTAAATGCCCATGAATAGGTGCTTTCTAAACATCTTAAATATGGATTGCAGGAGACGATTTACAATTTCCCCTACCTTAAAAGCGCAATTCCCCCTGAGGATTCTGGGTAATTCTGTGCACACTTGCACAAAGCCAGACACCTGGCTGCTTAGCAGCACCAAGTGTGGCCAGTGAAGGGACTTCTGAGTTGCTCTGCAAAGGCATAAACCAACAAAAGCTAATGTTTGTTCCAGCTTCTCCTATGGTGGAGCTGCTGCCTCAGTTGGAGAAAATGCCAGTCTCCTTGAGGAAGGGACTTTGTTGGGTTTTCCACTGGTGGTCACGCTTGCCTTCCCCAGTCGCACCTAAAATGTTGCATTTTGGTTTTTTAACTAAGGTCTGTGATGCAAGTCTGGGGTCACAAGGTTTTTTGAATCAATGAACAAAGTGAGTTTATTAACCAGCGGGACTGTAGCTCTTGGGGTTAGGGGAGTCTGGAGCTTTCGTGCTGCCGCCAAGCACAAAAATACTTAATGGTGCTGCTGCTGTCTTAACCGTCCACACACCACAAAGTCATTGCTAGGCCTCCCTGAAAGTGAAGGAGACAGATGCCCGGTTTTTACCGCAAGTGTCTTTGCGTTAGGAAGAGTGGTGTTAAATCAAGGGAAGGGACTTAGCTGGTGCTGAAAGCCACGTCAGCCTTAAACCCTGCTGTAACGAGGGAGAAGGGGTAAAGGTGCTTCTCAAATGCTAATTGCTGCCAAGGCTTCAAGCCTTGGAATGGGACCAGTCTGTAAGTCTTGTCTCCTGGGAATGAGGGAGACCGTGTTGAGAAGATGGAGCCGTGTCTAACAGGCTCCTTGTGGAGGATGCCAGCAGAGAGAGCAGCTGTGCCTCTGGTGGAGCCTGATGGCACCCTTGGCTGCCTGTGGAACCCACTAGTGCTGCGCTGGAGCAGCAGCCTCGGCACAGTCTGCTCCTAAACAGAGTAAAACAAGCTCTCCGGGACTCTCCTAGGCCAGGCTGGCTTTATTCAAGGGAAAAAGCAATTGTGCAGGAACATTCCGTGCTATTGCAAAGAGTTTCATACAGTCTCCCTCCCTGGTGGGTTGACAAGGAAATGCTTCTAGAATTTAATAATAATAATAACCCAACCTGCGTTTAAGGGACTGACCTTATTCTGATTAAAATTAAGGCCATTCTGATTTGAAGCTGCTGTTCCATCCCCATCATGCCTTGTGAGGCATAGCTCTTGCTGGGATCCCTGGGCAGTGATTGTACAAAACATACGTGAATGTCATTTGCAATTTCTTTGTTGAATAAGGCTCTTGGCTTTCTATTAGCATTATATTTTAAACAGTGTTTTTTCCAAGGTATCATGCAAAATCAGTGCACTGCTGATATTCTCCACTGAGCCCATTCTGCCCCCTACAGATCCTGGCACCATGCAGAAACTTCTGCTTTAAAATACTGGCACCTTGCACAGTACATGGAGTTGAGTTCTTGATGTGTATTGTACTCTGCAGTTAGCATATTTTCTGCACATATGCTATGCATTTGATTTCCATTCAGCATCTCTTCCAAATACTAATTGGGCTTTTTCCAATTTATCGTGCATTGGCATGGAAAATGGACATTAAAAAAATACTTTTTTCCTTTTTTAGGAGAGGAGAGAACACTGTGAGTTCATCTTAATTTGCTAATTCCAAAAGCTTGTCCCCAGACTGTAAGAACTTAGACTGTTCCATGAATAACCAGCATGGAAAACCTCCCTAGATTTGTACTAAGCCTTCATGTGCAACCTTGAGTTTGCACTATTTCAATGTTCCTAATAGACTGAATCCTCGGACGGGGACCTTCTTCTGTTGCAGATGTTTATAATATAAACATCTTGCATTTCTATGATGTCTCCTATCTAAGGAGCTCAAGGGCCTTACAGCCAAACTAAACCTCGGAACACCTCTGCCAGCTCAGTGGGTATCTTCATCTTGTAGATGTGGAACTGAGACACAGAAAAGTGAGTTGGCCAAGGTTACAGAGAGTCTGTGGCACAACTGGTCCCAGATCTGAATCCTAGGCCTGTGCTTTAGTCATTAGACAGGCGGAGATAATCTATTAAAATGTCTTGACTCAGCCCTTTGAAAAGAGAGAATAAGAGATCTCAGCTGAAAATGTCTCATGCTTCAGTTCAGTGCAGAATAAAAGAGCCTACACTTCAGGCTGAATTCTTACGAATTCAGGTTTGTAATAGACACAGTCATGTGGTTAACGAGTAAGGTGATAGAGGGCACCTCTTTAACAGCACATAATTGAAGCGGTGTTGCTTTTTCCATCTGGACGGGGTGGCAGGGCAGGCAAGAGTAATGAGCTTGCTAACTGTTACACTGCACACTTGACTGGCTTGTACAGTGAGTTGGAAAAGAGAGTGAACTCTGAGCTGGTGACAGGCGTAAGCCAAGAACACATTTTCCCAACTGAAGCTCTGTCCCCGTTTCTCCAGGCACTGCCAAAAAGAGTAAGATCCTGTCGCAGGAGGAGCGAAGGGTAGTGGCATTTCATGAGTCAGGCCATGCACTGGTTGGCTGGCTGCTGGAACACACAGAGGCTGTGATGAAGGTAACCTAACTGTCTGCTGTGAATTAATAACAAAGCTCAACGCGGGGGAGGGGAGAGGGTCCTTTTGGATTCCAGTCTAATGTATACTGATCATAATGCAACAACTTGTGCTAAAATCTGCTGCATCATCCCTCACGTCTTCTGAACTTGGTTACAGTAACACAGCCAAGTGCACAATTAGGAAATCCATTATCAGAGTCCATTAATAATGGTGATGCACTGCACTTTGTGCTGTTAATCTTAGTAATCATCTTCAGCCATCATTTTACGTTTAAAAGCTAAACTGGCTGTGCTCAGAGACCACAGTGTTCCCTGTGCACACTTAAAGGGACTAAAATCTACCTACAATTGCTCCTTGATTCATATACCCCTCCCACACAAAGCATGGCCTGCGTGTGCATGCACAATCTTCCTCTCACGGAGATAGCTTGCCAGCACATTAGAAAACTATTGGTTGGGTCATCACGTGTGACTCTGGTTTGAAGGGATGCTTTTTGAGACTGGTAGGCTAGTGAGTTGGCCTGCCTCAGGAGGCACTCCATAGGAAAGGGCTTCCTTTCAGACCTGTGGGGCTGTATTCTCCAATGTGTTTCCCCCACCCCAAAAAAAGACCGAACGTTGGAATAAAATCTCTTAACAGTATCAGAGACTTGTTTGTGTTACACTAGAACTAAACCCTTTTGTGTAGTGTTGCTTTGCACTGTTAGATGATTACTGCACTCCCAACATTTAAATGATCTTATAAATGATGCCTGTTTAATATAGAGCCAATTTCTGCTTGCCTTACTAACTCTGGTAATCCCATTAAATTCTGCAGAACATGCTCACAAGTGTGAAGTGAGTTGAGTTTGGTTGATGGTCTCTAAAAGCACTTTGGCATCTTGGGGATTCACTGGCTAGTTGACTACTACCCTAGAGTGACTTCCATGTCTCATTCCTCCCTGCCTCTCTCCGTAATGTCAGAAAGCACAATCATGAAGCCAGATCTTTCAGTGGGGGGACGCTGTCAAGTGACATTGTCACTTTTTGGCCTCCTGTGCCTGTAATCTCAAGAAGCTGTGGCAGTGCTGAGGTTCCCTCACACAAGTGCACCCCATGGCCTCTCACAAACCCAAGGTTAAATAGAGAATCTGAATATCTTCCTCTCCTCTCCCTGCTTGGATTCTATTTTGTAGCCCCTGTTCTCTGAAATTGGCAGAGGCTGTTTGTGTGTTTCAGGTTTCCATAGCCCCTCGAACAAATGCTGCCCTGGGATTTACTCAGATCCTCCCAAAAGACCAGTACCTCTTCACCAAGGAGCAGCTGTTTGAGAGAATGTGCATGGCGTTGGGAGGGAGAGTGTCTGAAGCCATCACCTTTAACAAAGTCACGACGGGTGAGGAGCCAGAACCTTGCACGGGTTGGGCCAGATGAGGTGCCAGGTTAACAGGGCCCTTCCTTTACATAGAAGGGAGATAGCTGTCCACCTCCTTGGCTTTCAGAGCATGTTGGCATATAAGGAGCTGTTCTGTAGAGACACTCCTGTACAGCACTGTAAATCCTCAACTGCCTGTCCTAGTAACACCAGCTGGAGGAAGTCAAGGTGGGGAGAAAGAGGATTTACTTCCAATGTCATTGTCTTTAGGTATAACATGTGGGAGAATAGCATTAATAATTGAAATCCAAGTGAAGGGTGCCATTTTCAGACGTGTTCAGCATTGGCCTAACTCTGTTCACATTAAAGCCAACAGTGAAACTTCTGTATAAGAATGGCCACACTGGGTCAGACCAAAGGTCCATCCAGCCCAGTGTCCTGTCTTCCGATCGTGACCAATGCTAGGTGCCCCAGAGGGAATGAACAGAACAGGCAGTCATCAGGGGAAGGATCACTTGATGATTGGCTGCTCCATCACCCATTCCCAGCTTCTGGCAAATTGACGCGGATGGGAGCAGAGCTAGGCCATCACTGAGCAGTCTCGAAATTCCCACCTTGAAGCGTTATGCTATGTGCCAAAGAACTTCAGTGTTCTCTCTCTAGTCTCTGAAGTAGTTTACAGGGTGTTTAGAAAGCTTGACCCTGGGTCTGTGCTTACCTGTTTGTGATCTGAGCAGCAGACATATCTGCAGACTGGGGAGTGGGGTGAAATGTTGAATGAGTTTTTTTTGATCAGGGTTTGTCCTCATCAGTGTGTAGGTCTCTTCCTAACTGACATGCCAGCCTGCTGTCTTAGACTTGCTCCTAGAGGCTCTGGTGAAATACTGTCTTTTCAAACTCTGAAGGTGAGGTGAGGGGAGATTGTGCATTGTAGGAGCTGTCAGTAGAATGTGTGACAGTTTCCCCTGGCTTAGTTAGTAAAGTCAATGGTTGGGGTGGGCTGTCCAACTACACAGATCCTTGCAGGTCTGAACACCTGACTTGCAGAGGGGGTGGTGTGCTAGAGGTGCACCAATTGCTACGCTGGTCAGCTCTGTGATCCCATGCTGTCTTCCTGTCTCACTCAGGAGCAGAGGATGACCTGAGGAAAGTGACCAAGATGGCCTATTCGATGGTGAAGCAGTATGGAATGGTGCCCAGCATTGGGCATCTTTCTTTCCCAGAGATGGAGAGCATGCCCGGGATAGGTCGGCGCCCCTTCAGCCAGGGGCTTCAGCAAATGATGGACCATGTAAGTCTCTTTGTCCTGGCAGCTTCCCTTTTGTTCTTTGCTTCTCTCACTTCATTTAAAAATCCAAATTGCAAATAAAACCTGCCGCCCGATATTTTGTGCTCCCTGGCCACTTAGAAGGAAACGCCTCGAAACCTGCGCTGGTTTGTTCCGTGCCACCTTGTTAGGAACGTTCGCCGAGTTCCAACAGGCAGAATCCTGTGCAGCTACAGCGTCTGCACCGCTGCTGCTTTAAACCGCAGTTAGTTGCCATGAAATAGGTTGCAACGTATAAAACCTTAATCTATGCAGAGAGCTGTAGTCATGATTTCAACTTGACCGGAGTCTTATGAGATGGGGCAGAGTGGGGGACAGGGTGATGAGGTGTGACTATAACTTCTTTGAGGGTGGAGTGGGAAACAAAATAAGGATGAGGTGATTGTGGGATTGAGAGTAGATGCCTGGATCGGGAAAGTTGCTGTGATTATCTGAGCGTATCCACCCCTTCACTTTCATGCTACTCCTGAGGGCATGCTGTGCCAAAAACTTAACAATTCTTTGCACAATATTTTAAAATTCTGCAAATTTTATTTGTCAAATAAATGTGGAGACTCCAGGATGACATTGGGGAGCACAGGCCACTGGCTGCACAGAGGTGGGAGATCAGTGTGCAGCTCATTCCCAGGACACAGACTCAGTGGTGAGGTTGCATCCAACCCTGACACAGCACAAGGACCAGGCCTGCCCCAGAAACACCCCAGGGCCCTGCCCCTTCATGCCAGGTGCACCAGATGTGGGAAAGTAGGATCAGCAATGCAGGATCCAAGTTTGGAGGGGCTTGGTGTGGGGGGCTCCAGGTGTGGGTTGAGAGAGCGCTGTGTGGGGCAATCTGGGTGCAGGCTGCTCAGTGGGGGATCCAGGTGCTGGAGGGATTTGGATGCAGAGGGGCTTGTTGGGGGGTTCTGGGTGCAATGGTAATGGGACTCTGCAGGGGGTCCAGGTGAAGGTAGTTGGGGCTCAGTGGGGTGTGTGTGTGTGTGTGTGTGTCTGGGTTTGGGAGGGATAGAGCTTGGCAGTGCGGTCTGGGTATGAGGGGCTCAGTGAGGGGTTCCAGATGCTGGGGAAGTGGGACTCAGTGGGTGGGGATCCATGGGCAACTGGTTGGTGCTCAGTAGGTGGGGACCAAGGTGTGGGTGGCTTGTCAGGGTGGTCCAGGTGCAGGGCGAGTGGGGCTTGTCGGGGGGGAGGGTTCTGGGTGCTGTGGGGGACTCAGTGGGGAGGTCTGGATGCATGGGGCTTGGGCAGATGGAGGAGTAGCTCCCTGAACAGGGATCCTTTCCCCTGTAGCTGAGGAGCGTTGAGTGCAGGAAGTGGGGGAATAGGGGAGTTTACAGAGCTTCTTGCACCTGGGGGAGAAATCTGGGGGTGGGTCTGACACAGCCCTGGATGCCGTGCAGAGGAAGAGGAAGTCACATCCTCCTCAGTCCAGCCAGGAGTAGCAGCTGAGCCCAGCACAGGGTAGGAACCACTAGCAGGGTCTTCCCCAGTCTCCTCTCCTCCTCCTCCTCCCCCCCGCCCTGTGATTTACCTCTCTGCCAGCTGCCCTGGGCACCGAAAACATACTGCTGGGGAGGGTCATATGGCTGCTCTTTTGGCTTCCCTTTGCTTTCCCATCAGAAAGTTACCTTTCTGTGGGGAAGCAAAGAAATCTGTGGGGGACATAAATTCTGCGCATGCGCAGTGACGTATAACTCCCCCAGGAGTAACAGTGTGCAATAAACAATACTGTGTGGTGTCTGGATCACAAGAAGATATGTAGCCTAAAAATCTCAAAAATAGAATTTTTGTTTCTTTGGTTTCTAGATCTCTTGGACACCCTGGAGGAGGGAGAGAGCAGGTGTTTGTATTAGGGCTGGTTGAAAACTTCCCAGTGAAACTGTTTTTAAATAGAACATTGGGTTTTTGACAAAATGAAATGTGTGAGAAGTGTCTGCCTTCTCCAGACAGTGTTAACTCATGAGAAACCAAACACTTGAAAATGGAAACATTTTGATTCAGAAATGCTGCCGCGGTGCATTATGGGAATTACAGTTCAGCTGCCTCATGCTCCTATTCTCCTCTATCATCAGGTTTCCCAGCTGGACTACATTACCCATGATGCCCCACAACTGGGGACTCACCTGATGTGCTGTGGCAGCTCATCAAGAGAGTAGACTCGTTTTTGGCAGAAAATCTTTGATTTTTTGGTTTAAAAAAAAGAGAAAACCAAACCCTTCCATAGGGACAGGACTTTCTAACCAGCTCCTGTTTGTAAATCATGTCTCTAGGAACAGCTCATCTTTTATATGACCATAGTGTTCACTCGTCTTTGTCTGTGCTCCAAGTCTCTCTTCCATTATCATTATCTCTCACTTCTCTTCCCAGGAAGCAAAAGTGCTGGTGGCTCAAGCATATAGGCACACAGAGAAACTCTTACTGGACAACCGGGGCAAACTGCAAACGGTATGGACTTCATTAGTGCTTCTGGCATCATTGCGGCCACCAGGTCCTTGCTTGCTAGAGTCCTAGGGAGTGGTGGTGGTACTTTCAGGAAGCGGTGTTTCTGTGCTTATCTTCCAGCTTTGAGAAGCAGTGTGGGTTCTGGTGCATTTCCAGATTGCAGGAAGATTAGGGAAGCAAAGGAAAGAGACTTTGAGCTGCGTATCTGGTCAGCCATTGGATTAGGACCTGGCATGCATGTGTGTTTGCAGTGGGAACTTTCTTTAGTGGTGAATGATGTGAGTCTCTAGGCATTAACTGGTGGTGTTCAGGGACTCACTGCTTGGCAAGAGGGGTGCTCTCTGTGAAGGGCTTGAGGGGGGCGGTTGAAGGTTAGACTCTGTAGCACAGAACTGCAGTTCCTTTAGGTTACTTCCATGGTGACTTTCTGATCCTGGGATGCCAAATATGGGGCTGCGAGTAATTTACACCACTGCAAGAACAGCTATCGGCCTTGCCAGGAGGAGTCTGCCATGTCAGAAGCAGCATGTCTGACAGACTCAAAAAGCAAAGTGCTGCCTTTACCACCGTGGCTGGGGGCCAATTCACAAGAGATCCACCTGGGGATTGGAGCGGCCCAGTATCTGAGGGGAGGAATAATGGGACTTAGAGCCTCTTGGCTCCGCGTCACCAGTGTGAATGAGTTGATAGTCTCAGTTCACATTGTTAAGTTACTGCTGCCAATGTTACAGGGCTGGCTGCACCTCTGCCCCCTCAGGTATCAGGCCGTGGGCCTTTACCTATCCTAGGATGGAATTTCACAATTCTCCCACTCTTGGACCAGGGCCTGGGCTATTGTACCCTGTGTATCAACTGTGCTCACCCAGTGGCCCAACTGAGTATGGACACCTTTGATTCTTCCTTTAGGGAGTCTGTGACCAGTGATATATAATGACCGGCCAGCCTGCTTCAACCACAGTATTGTTTACTTTAACTGTGGGATCAAACCATTTAGGGAAAAAGGACTTGAATACAACTGTCTACACACATATCTGTCTTACCTAACTGCTGACATATTTGTTGGTAATGTGGGCAGTCCTGTCACTTTCAGACACCCCGAGAAATTTGAATGGACCTGAAAAATGAACTTTCCTCCCATGCCTAGAGAGTTTCTGTCCAATGGGCAGTGAGGAAAGCTTGTGTTACTTTTGTCTAGACAGTACCTATCCTTTGGAGGCCTTTAGTTTCATTGACTGTTAACCTGGCACCTTTCACAAGTGTTCACACAGGTGCAAAGTCAACTAAGTTTATGGACTAGAGGGGCAGACCTTTCTACCTCTGCTCCTTGGACCTCATTCAGCTAAAGTGATTCTCCTGGTCACTCCTTCAGGCCAGCAGCTGGAGATCACCTGATTAACTTATACCCCAGTAGCTGTAGGTTGCCGAGCTTAGGGGAACAGAGCATCCAGTCGTAGTCCGCTGTGAGAGTGCCCCTCTCCCCAAAGCTCTCCTGGCTGTTTCTCAGTCTTTGTAGCAGGTGCCAGCAGCTCAAAAAGTCGCATATTGGCCCCCAAAAACTACAGATAGGCCAGATCTACACTAGGTGCTTCTGTTGGTCAGGATGTGAAGCCAGCAGACGCTCCTAGTGTAGACGCAGCTATAGCAGCAAAGCTGCACTTTTACTGATACAGCTTGTAACCAGTACAGAACGAGCTTTGCTGCTGTCGCTGTGTCCACACTAGGAGCGCTTTGCCGGTATAACGTACTGGTTTTCTATACCAGTAAAGTATTCCTAGGGCAGACATATAGTATTAGCTGTAAAACCTGTGGATTTGGTAACCCAGGTGTGTTTGTTTCCCTCCGGCACCAACACATCTTGCTTCGGCTGCATGTTTGTCCAAATATATGCCTTGATGTTGTTTGCTGCTTACAGTCATGGACAAACATCTTCTCTTCCGTTTTCGCTGACCTCCTGGGGAGGATGGAGGCATGTTCTGGAGATGCTTTGCCACAAGCACGTGCTGCCATGTCAGCATGCTCTTCTTCATGCCTTGCCAGAGCTGCCACTAACTTTTCTGAACTCTCAGTGCATGTACACTCACCTTCTGCCTTGTCTGCTCTTTCTAGCTGGCGAATACCCTCCTGGAGAAGGAAGTGATAAACTATGAGGACATGGAAGCCCTGATTGGGCTCCCTCCTCATGGGCCAAAGAAAATGATCGTTCCTCAGAGCTGGCTTGAAGCAGAGAGAGACAAACAAGACACAGGCGATGAAGAGCCACCCCAGCAACCCCGCACCCGGGAAGAGGAGGAGGAACCCAGTTTGAGACCAGTATGAAACCCATTCCTGATCCGGAATGGGAGAGGAGGGCTTTAAAGGCTTCCTTCTAGCACCATACCTGAGTCTTCCCCTTTCAGCTGCAGGGTCAAAGGCACTGAGAGACCAGAGCAGGGGATCTGTGTGTTGCCGATATCCTGCCCCTAACTTCTGGGTTTCTCAGCTACTGTGCAAGGCAGGCTGTCTTCAGGAAGGGATTCTGCAACTGGTTATCTCTGGGGTTGGGGATTCCTGATGCAAGCTCAGATGTAGTTGGTCATGTGAGGCAGAAAGGGGTAATGCATGGGTTCAGAATTAATTTAAATGCTAAACTCTCTTTTGGGCTCAGCGCAGTGTAAACACTCTTAGGAGCTGGATTTCTTGTCAACATTCAACATCTGTGCTGTGATATGGGTGTGCGCTGTCATTCCTTCCCGTGCCAGAGCTTCGGAAGTGTCTCTCTGTCCGGCACAATCGTGGAGTCCATTCGGAAGGGCTCAAGGCAGTTTAAGACACAGTAGTTACCACATGACTTGACTGTACCCTTTGATTATCTCTGCTCAGAGTTTAAAAATATACTGACTGAGAGAACAAGGTTCACTGGAGTAAAATGGTCTTTGTGCATTGTTATGTAGAACATATTAATAAAAGCAGGAGGCGGGGGCGTTGTGACATGTACATGTCCTGTTATGACAAGAACACAGTTCTCCAGATTTAGGGGCTTCCTGTGCCGGTTGTTCTCTGATAGTTCTGTGCATGTCCCTCTCTCTCTATGGGGATGTTTTGGTTTTGGTTGGTTTGGGGTTATCAGTTTGTGGTTATCAGTTTGTGGATTGTTATCAATTTGTGTGCAGGTACCGACGAACCCCACATGTCTAAAATCCAGTCTAGGATCTACTTCTACATCAGAAGCCCATTTTCCAGATCAGGACTGAACACAAGTGCTGCATTGAGAGGCTGAGTCCAGTTATGCTGTTTCTTTTCTCAATAGCAACTCGAGAAGCACCTTTCAGTAAGGATTCTGGGATGGAAGCCCGTGTGTTTATTTGCATTGATTTCTACAGGGGGCTGTAGACTGAAGTCCTTTGCTTGTGTTCAGCCCTTTAAATCCTCTGCAGAAGAACCTTGTTGGGGCATGATCATTCTCACTCCATAATGAGAGCATCTGAAATATCTGTGCATTGATGTCTGGGGTACTTTGGTGGCTGGCTGTATGGTGTGCCCTTTTCACTTTTATTGAGGATTATTTCCATGGATTATTCCATGAGGATTATTGTCTGTGTCCCTGAAAGGCCCCAGTCCAGGTGCTCCCCCACCCCAGTTGCTTCTTTAGGGGACTAAGAGGTCTGAACACAAGTGAAGGACTTCAGTCTACAACCCCCCCGTAGAAATCGATGCAAATGAACATGCCTCACATTACCGCCATCAGTCTTCCATTTGTGGAGAGCAAGACAAGACTTTTGAGGCAGCTAATGTTGCATTGTTCAGATGGAAGGGATGCAGTTATCCAAGGCATTCTTACCCACCATCACTTATCTGATGCAGAGCCTGCTTCTGTCTCAGAACTCCCAACCTCTGCTGGGTTTAGGAGTAAGGCTGGGTCCTGAAAATTGACACCCCCCCCCACCCCACCCCCATCTCTATAGGCTACTGTAAGGCAGTGCCACTTGCCTGACCCACTGGTTGTACTAGTTTTAATGCCAGCTCTGTGTTGGCACAGCATTCTGTAGTGGTTTTTACTTGTTAATCTTATGGGGAAGGGATGTTTTTCTTCTAGTCTGGGACTTGATATTTCCATTGCTTTTTCCCTTCTTTTCTTTTTAACATGATGGGCTTCCCCTTTATTCTTTGAACTCTAGAATTTCACCTGCTGTAGAAACACTTCTCAACCTTTTAAAAAACTGTCTCAAATATGTTCTGGGCCTGTTTGTATGCATACTTGGAATCTGGTAGCACTGCTGTTAATTGTAGTGTGAATACAAATGTAATGCAATTGGTTTGGGACCTTTCTTAATAAACAGCAGGCTCCTGTGTTTACGGTATCCTTACCAGTCTGATCATTTTAAAAGGCCTGCCTGTGCAGCCTGCAGCATCTAGTGGTGCTTTGTCATGCCATATTCTGGCACAGGATTGATTTTTAACTGGTCAGACAATTGGAAGTATCCACATGCAGAAAAGTGGGTTCACAGAGGTTTGTGGAGCAGATGTTGCAGCATGGCTGGGTCACTGGCTGTGAATAGCGAAGCCTGCGTTAAAGATTTGTCGTGGTCTGTTCATCATCTCACCACAAAATGGATCAGTCATCAAATGAACTGTAAAGCAGAAGTGATGGGAGACTCCATGAAGTCACTGCTTGTATCAGCTTCCTGCCACTGACTCCCCGAGATGCCCTTGGCTGGGTGGTGGCCTCTCCGGGCTTAGCTGCTCCTGGGACAGCATGGGTCTGACACCCAGTGAGCAGCTCCTGGGGTCCCCGCACTATGGCTGCAGGGGCTTCCTGGGAACTCCTGGAGGAGCTGAGTCTGTGAGCACCTCTCCCCTCCCAGGTGAATCCCAAGGCAGGTCCCATCTCAGCAGTATCCCCTTCCTGGTGGGTGTGTCCAACAGTGTGAGCAAATGGATCACTACGCAGCTTTTACCTCCCTCCACCCCCACACGAGTCCCACAGCAGATCTCTCAGGCTTACTGGAGTGTAGGTGGTGGGCTGAGGAGGTGGATCTGTGGCCATCATGGTGGATTGATTTCAATCAGCAAGCAGAAAATCTAGATTGAAATCTTGTTTTGCCATTGTATTTAGTTCTTTTCCTACAAAGGGTCATTCTTGTTAGTTGAGAACCATTAAAACATGTTGATCTGCAAAAAAGCTAAGAGGTGCTGGGAATCATTAAGAAAGGGATAATCAGACGGAAAATATCATATTGCTGCTATATAAATCCATGCTTATGCCCACATCTTGAATACTGCATGCAGATGTGGTTGCCCCATCTTAAAAACGATCTATTGGAATCCGAAAAGGTACAAGAAAGGGCAACAAAAGTTATTGGGGTATGGAACAGCTTCTATATGAGGAGAGATTAAGAAGACTGGGACTTTTCATCTTGGAAAAGAGATTTCTAAGTGGGGATATGCTAGAGGTCTATAAAATCATGACTGGTGTGGAGAAAGTAAATAAGGAAGTGTTATTTACTCCTCATAACACGAGAACTGGGGGTCACCAAATGAAATTAATAGGCAGGTTTAAAACAAATAGGAAGTATTTCTTCACAGAACACAGTCAACCTGTGGAACTCCTTGCCAGAGGATGTTGTGAAGGCCAAGACTATAGCAGGGTTAAAAAAAGAACTAGATAAATACATGGAGGATAAGTCCATCAATGGCTATTAGCCAGGATACACAGGGATTGTGTCCTTAGCCTCTGTTTCCCAGAAGCTGGGAATGGGCGACAGAGAATGGATTACTTGATGATTACCTGTTCTGTTCATTTCCTCTGGGGCACCTGGCATTGTCAGGAGACAGGATACTGGGCTAGATGGACCTTTGGTCTGACCCAGTGTGGCTGTTCCTATGTTGTAGCTCAACAAGTGCACCTGCTTCCCTCAAACCTTACTCGGAGAGGGTGCCTTACAAACTTAGTGTCTTGGTTTTGCTCCGCTTTCATGTGTGTTGAAGCCAGCCCCATTTGCCTGTTACCAGGATCCTCTGCAATGCGGGCAGGAACCTGCTCAAGAGCTGCTGTTTCTTGCTCCTACTCCTTGGGGAAGCGTCAGGCCTCATCCTAGAGCCTGCACTTGAGTCCAGTCAGGAGCTGACTGATGGTAAGAAATGCCAGGTAAGGTGGACCTGCAGCAGTCTTGTAGTGCAGCTCTGTTTATGCTAAGTATAGCACCCTGTGGGAGTGTGGCTCAAGGCGGGTGTAGTCTGGTTTTGTTCTAAATGCTGTGAAAGTGGCCATAGCCACCTTGAAAAGAGTGTGTGTCCTGTGAATGTCTGAAAAATTATCCTCCAAGCACCTGCAGTCCCGAAATGGTGGTGGTATGAGACATATGAGGGCCCCCTCCTTCCTTGCTTGACTTGAATGAGGAACTCCAGTCTGAGAAGAAGCAGCCATTAAAACATGGGGCAACACTGGGTATATGAAGTAGTTTGAGAAGGGGCGGGGATGAACTGTGGAAGCCAAAGCAGGTCTAATGTGCAGGGTCTAGACGTGAGCCCAAACCAAAATAGTGCCACCAGCAAGAGCAGGCAACGGCTGTAAGTCGATAGGAATTATTCATCCATGTATATCTGACCAGGCATATATGCAATTTGGGGATAGATGAAATGCATACATGGGGTAGGAACAGCATAGCTACACTCTGGGCAGCTGTAATTTTATAGTGTCATCATTTTACAGGCATGTATGTGATATAATAAAGTGCAAGTTACCTCTGGTCCAAGGCTATTGGGCAGTCCTGGGCTCAGACCATTAGATCAGGCTGCTCTCTCTAGGTATGCAGGGCTCTGGGGAGGATGCATACACAGGAATGCATTCAGTTCTAGAATCTAAAATAAATAATGTAGGGGAATGGATGTGGCTAAGCAGGCTAGAATACTTCATAGTAGCTTTTAAATTAATTGGATTAATGTTTGTGTTGCACTCCAAAGACGTATCTCACCATGTAAATGCTAAGCATTCTTGCTCGATAATTTTTTTAAGATCATGGACTTGATGTACAACAAACTAAATAAGTACTTGCAGCTGCAAATAGCTTCTGTATCTGCTACACCAACAGGACAGCTCCTGACTGGGATAATCAGTTTCTCAACATAATTATTTTTGAATTGTCATGAGAGTTCAGTCTAGGTTGCGATTGTTCCTCTTTGATGTTTGGGTATCTTATTTAAGAGACTTTGTTTTACTGTGTGGGGTATGGAATTTGAGGGATTAGTGTCCATGGTCTAGAAATTAGGACCAAGGTTTAAAAAAATAAAGTGAATCTTGTACATGGCTGTAAATTGACTGGTCTGTAATTCCCTGGTTGTCTTTGTTCCTTTTTTTAAAGCTAGGAATTGTTTGCCCTTTTCCAGTCCTCTGAGACCTCACCCATCGTCCATGAGCTGTCCTGGATAAGCAATTTCAGCGCTTCCTTGGTACAGCCAGCTGCCTTTCCCTACCCCAGCTGGGGTATCGGCACTCATTGGTTTTTCATACGCGGCCTCTTTAAAACGGGCGCCATCCTTGTAAAGGGCAGCGGGCTTTTGGAGAGATGGGCGCTGAAGCTCGCTGGGCGGGCCTCTCGCCAGCCTTTATTCTAATTGGTCAGTAACTAGTTGAGTTTCCGCTAGGCCTGATATCCCAGCGTGCCCTGCATGACCCCTTCCTTTTCCGGTCGGCCATTTCCCCCTGTGGAGGTGGGTTGGAGCGGAGGCCGGGCCTTGCAGCGTTATCCGCCTGCATCCGCCGCCTGGGCGGCCCGCGGGGCCCGGGCCCTGGGCAGCCGGACGCCGGGGGGCCGCCTGCGGCCTGTCGCATCCTGCGGGGAGGCTGCGGAGGCGGCGGGCAGGTGCCGGGGCTGGGGGCGCAGGGCGGCTCGGCTGCCGCTAAAGCCTAGAGCGGGG